AAACCTGAACAAAAGAACATTCTGGAATGCCTAATAGATGGTCTAGATTGTATGGGTTCAGTCGTTAAGCCCGTAACTATTGTTCGGAATACCCCGTGTTAAAGTTTTCGAGGTTGCATGATTCGAAATCACATTCCGACTGTCACTTTCATGATCTGGTAAGCGACGCTTTGATTGGTCGGATGTAAGGTCGTTCTGACGTGACCCCTAATGAGATGTCCTCAGATCTTTGTTTAGAGGTAGTGAGGACTAAGATCTGATTTTAATCAGATTGTGATGGCACACTAAATCATTGAATGGTATGGACCAGGCAAGCAGTGATTGATATTATGAGCAACGAATGATTATGAACACTGTTAGGGTACGATGACACAAACAGCCCAGTCACATTTAGTCCCTGTTATAAGCCTTTAATAACGAGCACCCAGCAGGGTAACAACAAGTACCATTATTTCATGTCTTTTGGTATGACCCCTCGGGATCAAACCACTGACCTTCCGCTCTTGGGCAGATGCTCTATCCACAGAGACAGCCTCGACCAGCACAGATAGCTGGGGTCCAGTTTGAACACAAAATACCCACAGGTGACACATCTACGAACACAAGACAAGGAAGAAAATACTCAAACACCATAATCAACTTTTCCTCCCGTTTAATGTCACAAATACTGTACAATGCACACATCACTCAAATGAGACACAATTCCCTGCTAATGATAGCACGGGTGTTATATACATTGCTACATACTTACATCTTCACACTGATGGATGATGGGTACAACATGGCACTGATTGTCCGCTTCCCGCTAATCTGCCTGTGGGTATTTACAATAGTATTTAAATGTGTATTAGTATGTATGTAACTAAGTTGTTTGGTCTTTCAGGGTAATCACTATTAATGTCTACCAATTATCATGATTATATGGGTACCTGGAAGCATCAGCTGAAATGACAAGAAGACGGCCGACTTGTGCCATTGTACATACGATAATAATGAATGTGTACCAAGCCAAGCTGCTTCGACTGAAGCGTACTACATTCATAAAGTTCTACGTAAATACAGCCTTAGGCCTTTAATGACTAGACTAGTGGCATTTGTCTGTCTGGTAAACCTAGCTGATGATAAAGCAATGCGTCCAGCAAACTATTCTGAAAGACAAGGCTCGTAGGCAGAATGGTTTTGGCACTGTCTTTCGAATTATCATTATCGTCTTAAATGCCATTTGTGCATTTCATGTTTGATTCTCAGTTTTTCTTCAGAAATAGAACACAATGTACATACATAAGATTTTAGGAACTGTATCTTGTATTCTTTGTCCGAATGCAGAAAAATCCCATGTTGGATGTGACACCAACATTGGGTTAAGAATAATCACAGCAATACATACAAGACTGGTGTGAAAACAACAGACGTAAATGGCGATTTGAAACCTGCGATTTGAAACTTCGAGTTGTGAAAGTGCAGTAGGAGCCATGTCCCATGAGTGAGTGAGTGAGTGAATGACATGTTTCACGCCTCAGAACAGTATTATCAGTCAGTTTAAATGTGGGAGGAAAGCCCAGTGACACTGACTGAGGGCATAAAATCAATAATCACCTCGTGCTCACAGATCAAGGATGCTAAAGGGCAGACCAGTCACAGTCATGGTTGATACATCCGAACACAATGAAGCTAGCACTGACCATGTGTTCAAAATAAAGTCTTTGTGTAACAAGCAAAAATAATCTAAGTTCTAGACATGCCAGAAGTGAGTGAGTGAGTGAGTGACTGAGGTTTTACGCCGCTTTTAGAAATATTCCAGCAATATCACCAGAAATGGGCTTCATACATTGTACCCATGTCGGGAATAGAACCCGGCTCTTCGGAATGAACACTTTAACCACAAGGCTACCCGACCGCCCGGACATGACAGAAAAAATCCCTGCTGTAAGAACTGACAGTTTGTAACTTGAAGACATCTTCTGATAATGATTCAAAACCAACTTTGAAGGAATTTTGAGAAAAAATAAAACATAAAGCATTCGAGTTAAACTGACCAGGATCCAGTTCCAAACATGGATCTTAGCGTTTATGACTGCTGACAGACAATGTTCAGTGATTCAGATGTGATTAGCTCAAAGATCGCTGTCTGGAACAGGCCAAGTTTTGCACTCAGTAAACAGTAATATATGAAGCCTGGATGACATTTTAAAGCTTGATAGCGGCTGGAATATGTAAGTCTACATTCCCCTCTAAAGGTCAACACAATCAACAATTCACCATCTAACTACCTCCCAGGAGCATCTGCAGATAACAGTTCAAAATCTGAACTCTTCAGTCAGGGCATCAAATTGACGATAGATGAAATATAGCATTTCAGTTATTAAAGCATTAACACCGGAGATTCAATAGATATATTTGATTACCATACATTAATGATATAATGTATCTCATGTAGATGATGTAACAGTTGGATGTAAATATGCATAGATTGGTGAATGGGTACCACAGGCCTCCAATATTGGAATATTAAAATCAAACCTATGGAATCAAACCGATGTCTGTGGCATGATAAGCCAACATTTCAGCCACGAGGCCACCGTTGTGTAGGCGGAAGTCTAAATGATAAGGGTAGGCACCTATCAATCTTATCAATACAGTAAGCGACGACCAACGACACCTTTCTTTCTGATGATGCCTCCTGTCCTCATCTATGGGGGTGCCAACTCCCTCATGGAACCCCTAATACCGAACCCTGTTTAAAAAAATACCAGTCTTGGTTCTCAGGCACAGCCCACATTACCATAAAGTTTGCCGCTTGATTCACACAAAAATTCTTAAATATTCCAAGTCCAACGGTCGTCAAATCCTGTATTCGATTATTTTACACAAGGAATACATGAATGTAGGGAAGCTCTTTCCCAGGCTGATTGTACACAGCTGCTTATTTGGTTACATACTAGTTTGAACACCCCCCCACCCCCACCCCCCACCCCCCAAAAAAACAACAACAACAAAACACAGCTCGTCTGCACCATATTTTCAGAAGCCATTGCCTGAGAACCAATTCTTTTATGTTTTTAAGGCTTAAGTGGTATTCCAGATGCCGCAGTGCAGTGCGCTGGATGCCATTGTTTATCTGGTACGATGATGCCAACATTTCATTGTTGAAAGTTACTTAAGTCTTTTTTTTCTTGCAAAGAGTGAAAATCAATAAAATATTTATCACTAAGCTTATGAGCATGCATGGTCATGCATTCTTTGTGAAAATCCCAGTCTAATTAGCTTGTACCAGCTGTGTACACTGATATGTCTCAAGACTTCTTAAATTGGATCTCACGGCAAATTAATGGTTTGTGGATGCCTGGAGAGGAAGGGTTGGCACCCTCATATATATCAATGAACAAGTCTGGTCTGATCAATGAGATGTCTTGTCTGGTACAACGTAGTCATGTCATGGGGTAAACTGTTAATAGTGTGTTATTGCTACACTGAACGTGATGACAAAATCAGTCTTAGTGTTGAACATACAAAGTTTGGGACTGCTTTTTGTTAATGGAACAACTAATTAAATATTTTAGTCTAAAAAACTTTCCCTAAAACTGAAATGTTGGTGAAACATTTAGTGTATCTGTCGTCATGGTTATTCATGAGAAGTAGTGAGTGAGTTGGGCTTAACGCCGCTTTTAACAGTATTCCAACTTTATCATCGAGTCTCGGCTTAATGTAGGAAGAAAGCCCGAAGTGAAGCAGGTTTCGGATGTTTACCACAATGGTGAAACCCACGAGCATGGGTATGGTGCTGTAAAACATAGAAACATTCTTCAGGGCGAACTGGGATTCAAACCCACAATCATAGGATTCTGGCATGCCCAGGGGATGCAACTCTGCACAGTGAAATGCAGCACCTTAGATGACTGCGCCACCCATGCTCCATGAGATAGATAGGTAAACCCACTCATCTCAATATCAGAGTGTTTCAAAACCTTATTGAACAGAGTAGTCCTCTCAACATTGCATGAACAGAACCTAAACCATTGTCTCATACAAACCAGGCTTAAAAGTGTCAATAATTTCCTGTAAATAAACAACAGAATAATAATTCCATTTCACCAACTCCATGCACTGTATACAAGTACAGTCACCAATATGTATTAGAAGGCGTTCTTGCAAGTGTTAAGTTATACAGTGACTATAAGTAATGGCACCACTCTGATTGTGGTGGTGTTACAGCAACTGTAGGCCTCTTTGCACCTGGTCTCCAACAAGTCTACCAGAGTTACCTCCCTTGGATTACTGACAAGACGCGTACTTACTCTGCAGTGTAGATTGTACATGTGGTCTATCTATGCAAATGTATACACACACACTGTAAACGAAAACCTCATGACAGCACAAACAAGTACTCTTCATATGAAAGATGAATACATTACATGACTATGTACACAATCATCTAATGATAAACCCCAAATGAGTGAAAAAAAAAACTACAGGTGAAGAGACTAAAGCAAAGTAATTAAAACAAAATACCCAGAAAGTAATCACCGTCAGCATGATTGACTGTGTTGTTTTGATAAAAATGTATCTTCTGCATTGAATTTTATCACCCAAACCTTACCCATCACAGCTAAAACAAGAGATTATTCATTGTCTATTAATTGTTTGTTAATTGTTTATTAATTGTTTGTTTGTATCACAATTCTTGTAAGGAGCTTAATAACTATTCCAAATTATAATAAAATCATAATATACTACTCAAACGAAGTTCAAGAAAAATCTGATTCTTTCAAATTCTGTAGTTAATCTGTCTTGGTTTTAACTTGTTTTGTGTAGTATAGATTCACTTTATCATAGTGGCAGCATTGGGTTCAGTGAGTGAGTTGGGTTTAACGCCGCTTTTAATAGTATTCCAGTTATATCACGGCGTGTCAGCTTAATGTGGGAGGGAAGCCCGAAGTAATGCAGGTCTCAGATGTTTACCAGTTCGGTGAAACCCACGAGCACGGGTATGGTGCTGACAAACCTAGAAACATAATCGGGGCGAACCGGGATTCGAACCCACAATCATAGGTTTCTGGCGTGCCCAATGACGCAGCTCTGCACAACGAATTGCGTCGCCTTAGATGACTGGGCCACCCCTGCCCCCAGCATTGGGTTCAAAATATCGTAATGGCTCCGCAAAACTAGTAATGGTCCTCTCAGTTCCATCCCACACAGCACCTTGATGATGTAGAATGATAGACAGTGATCATGAAGAGATGATCTGTTATATACAACAGTACAGATGCACATCCTAATTGACTACAAACACATTCTCCTTCAGTTACAAAATGTCTGAGGTTCCGGTTGATTATCTTAGAAATATTCCAGCATACTTGTAGGCACTTCCTGTCATGCTCAGTACGTCACACACAAAGGCAAGTTGATCCATCAGTGAATGATGTGACAGCTCTATGGTTGGCGGTGATCATAAAAAGGTGAGCCCAATACCAAATTGTAAACCGGCATTAATACTGAAAGGAAAAAATGGCAACATATTCAGTATCAAACACTCAGCACATTTAATATAAAAAAACATTGAATTGCATGAAGCATGAAGCATGAAGCATGAAGCATGAATATGTATTAGAAGTCAACATTCAAATCTTGGATCAAATTTTTGAGGGATCCAATGTTGTTCATTTGTAGCAGGTGAGGGGAGGTGAAATGGGGCTTAATGTAGCATTCAAGATTATTGCCTATTATTGCCTATTGCTTGCCTATTATGTCTGTATGTATGTCTGTATGTATGTCTGTATGTATGTCTGTATGTATGTATGTATGTATGTATGTATGTATGTATGTATGTATGTATGTATTATTGCCTATTGCTTGCCTATTATGTCTGTATGTATGTCTGTATGTATGTCTGTATGTATGTCTGTATGTATGTATGTATGTATGTATGTATGTATGTATGTATGTATGATTAATGACAAGCTCTTTGAGATTCCATGGTGAGTGAGTGAGCGTGCGTGCGTGCGTTCGTGCATGAGAGAGAGCATACTTGAGAGAAAGAGAGTGAGTGAGTTTAACGCTGCTTTGAACAGTATTTCACGGCATGTGGGAGGAAAGCCCAAAGTGATGTTTACAACTTTGATAATACCGAAGAGTACAGGTGTGGTGCTGAAAAAAAGGGCACTCAGTATGCTGAAAGAGATAACGTCGGTACCCACCTGTCTCCTCTTTGTGCTTGCATAGGTATCACATAATTGAGTTCCATCCTGGCTACACGGCCCATCCGCAAGACGATGCCCCCGCCGTATGCCCACCGAAATGTCTCCGCCATGTGACAGAAGTTTTCACGAATATCTGAGTCTTGAATAAAGAAAAGGATTGCAAAATTAGAAGTCCAAAGCACCTTAAAATCAGATGTCAAATCTGAGCATACAGCTGGTCTGTATACCTTGGATAATTGGAATTGACTTGTCCAATACAAAAGAATGCTAACCTTTGAAAAATAAAACAAGTTGATTGTACAAATAAGGAGAAAATCTCTAGTCATACCAGAATGTATGCATGAGTAGGGCTGTTTTGAATCGCTCGTGTATTCGGTGAATCGAACCGTATCCCTTCATGAATTGAATTCGTTAATTGTGGACACAAGAATCAAATATTTACAAAACATTTTTAATAAAATGATGTTTTTAACTAAAAACATCCACAAGAACTAATAATATGCATGTGTAGATTTCTTCAAAGACAGCACTCTTATATATTTAATTTGACAGTAATGTGGTCCTCGGTCTTTGTCACAAGTTAGCAGATACTAGTACCTGGATAAGTGCAGTATATAAATGTACACTATAATAATAATCATTGACACTGTCAACATGGTCAAACAATGTCAAATAATATATTTTGTTATTGTTTACTGAATATAATGAATAATACATCAACTAATGACCTGTTACTGTATTTGTGCATACCCCGGTAAATGTTCATATTTGTTACCATATATTCGTGATATGTATCATATTCGCCTCATAGCATATTCGTTGCAGTCCTATGCAAGAGTAAAACAATGACCATTGAGTGAATCACATACAGCTTGTTTGCAATCAGGAATATGATCAGTGAGTGAGTGAGAGAGTATGGTGTAACGCCGCTTTTAACAATATTCAAGCAATATCACAGTGGGGGACACCAGAAATGGGCTTCACATATTGTGACCCGGAAATCGAACCCGGGTCTTCGGCGTGACGAGTGAACGCTTTAACCACTAGGCTACCCGACCACCCCGGAATATAATCAGGTAATGAAGCCTGAGAGTATTCTACTAGTATCATCTGTTATGGGCATCTAATGTGTTTCAAGTGTAGTTCAAACTTTTTAAATTTGATAAAATCTTAATTACTTGTCAATGACGTGTCCTCACCATGCTAGGAAACATCAAGACAACGTAACAAATGCTACAAATGTTATATTTATCAATATAATATGAAAACAAAACATCATATCATTACAAGCGTGAAATTATATTTTCCATTGATCCAACAATCTCAGCAATAAACTTACTTAAGCTTATATTTCCTATGTTTCCAGCATTGATGAAGAAGTGGGTGCGGAAGAGTTCCCCGAAGCCTCCTTTCCCCGGCCGGAAGGGGAGTGGGGTGTACATGTGGAGGGCCGCCAGCCAATAGGCATCTGCTCCCAGAGCGTTACCTGCAACAGATGCATTAACCAGATGCAGGCACTTCGTCCTACAGCATTCTCTATTTGTAATAAAATATATATTCACCTTTTTACATCTTTACATGATCTGCATAGCGACTTAATAAAATTCATACGAAACACTTGATACTGATTTGTGATTCTCTACATAAATGTTAATATTTGTTGACCATTTTAGCTTCAAAACACATATTCAAAAACAATTTCGGTTTACAGTTACCCAGTTTCTTTTGTGTTAAAGGCCCTGCTTCCTTGTAGCAGGTAGCGAAAGATCTACATGACCACTACAGTGTTGGGTGTCTTGACCCTCCCACACCCACCATCACTGTGTGGCCCCACCCCCTCATAGCAGGTAGAGATAGATCTACATGACCCCCTACAGTGATGGGTGTGTTGCCCCTCCCAGACCCACCATCACTGTGTGGCCCCACCCCCTCATAGCAGGTAGAGATAGATCTACATGACCCCCTACAGTGGTGGGTGTGTTGCCCCTCCCAGACCCACCATCACTGTGTGGCCCCACCCCCTTACATCAGGTTGGGAAAGATCTACACGACCCCTACAGTGGTGGGTGTGTTGCCCCTCCCAGACCCACCATCACTGTGTGGCCCCACCCCCTTACATCAGGTTCGGAAAGATCTACATGACCCCCTACAGTGGTGGGTGTGTTGCCCCTCCCACAACCACCGTCACTGTGTGGCCCCACCCCCTTACATCAGGTTGGGAAAGATCTACACGACCCCTACAGTGGTGGGTGTGTTGCCCCTCCCAGACCCACCATCACTGTGTGGCCCCACCCCCTTACATCAGGTTCGGAAAGATCTACACGACCCCTACAGTGGTGGGTGTGTTGCCCCTCCCAGACCCACCATCACTGTGTGGCCCCACCCCCTTACATCAGGTTCGGAAAGATCTACATGACCACCTACAGAAGTGGGTGTCTTGCCCCTCCCACAACCACCGTCACTGTGTGGCCACATCCCTCATAGCAGGGAGAGATAAGCCCCTACCGTCAACGATGTTCAAGACTCACCATCACTGTGTGGCCCCACCCCCTTCAAACTGAAGCCTCTCAGTGTCAGGGGACCCCCAAGGAAGAAACGGTCGTTCACCTTGACCTCATGTTTAGGGTCAAGGGACTTCAAAATGCCTCCAGCAAGAGAAACTTGTAATACCTTAAAGGAACAGAAGCAATATCCCATTAGTCACTCAACTGTAGAATACCATCCTGACGATTGTACAATCGAAACTTGAGATGGCAAAACTTAAGGTCTCCTTTAGGTAATGATCACACTTGCAAAGTGAGTAAGTGAGTATGGTTTTACGCCGCTTTTAGCAATATTCCAGCAATATCACGGCGGGGGACACCAGAAATGGGCCTCACACATTGTACCCATGTGGAGAATCGAACCCGGGTCTTCGGCATGACGAGCGAACGCTTTAACCGCTAGGCTACCCCACCGCCTCACATTTGCAAAGAGTAAATGTAACACCCAAGTGTGTTTTCAAAGAGAATCAGACATTGTTAGATTTTCAGACCAGATCCATTTGTACATCTAATAACAACATTTTCAAGTCCACACACCAGCGTGTCAATGTTATTCATCAAACTGTTACTGCTCCGAACGGAGGGCATTTTTTTCTCTCTATGCTAATGGCCAAGCCACCAGGTAATCTTAAGCACTGAACATGAAAACATAGTTGGCGGCATAAAAACATTAAAAACCACTGTCTTAGTGTTATTGCTGGCTGGGAGAAATACAGCACAAGTGAAATGAAAGAAGTACCATCTAAAACTTACTTCACCTACTTGGACTAGCCTTGCTCCAAGGCTGAACTGTCCATGGGTATATAGTAATTCTATCCTAATAATAGTCAAATCTCAATAAGCAGACAGTACATAGGGACAACTTGTTCTTTTAATTTATATAATCAAGAAATTATGATTTAAACTAATACTTATTGCCTCAGACTTGTGCAAGCCTAACTTTGACTTACTCTGAGTGATTGATTGAGTGAGTGAGTTTGATTTTATGTCGCTTTTAGCAATATTCCAGCAACATCACGGTGGGGGACACCAGAAATGGGCTTCACACATTGTACCCATGTCGGGAATCAAACCCAGGTTTTCGGCATGACAAGCAAACACTTTAACCACTAGGCTACCCAACCGCCCCTGGACCTACTCTGAGCATTAGTTCATATCTGAAACTAGTTCACAGACTCCATGGAAAGAGAAACAGGCTGTTTACTTTTATTACACATTCATGAAATTATAGGTTTATCAAAAGAATATCATATAAAAAATCAGCATGTTACAACAAGTCATATTTCAAGCAGCTGTTTTTCAGTCTTCAGTGTTATAAAGGCTGTGCTCTGCAATACTTAACAATGACAACAGACATTGCTTTATTTTCAAATTCCTGTATCCATGGTAACTGCTCTGTGACTTACCGTGTCCCAGGCTAAACTCTGGTTGAACTGGTATTCTACGTCTTGTTTAGCAAACTGTACGTTTCCTCCCAGACCAGCATATTCCTGTAAATACAGTTCAAATCATCAAGAAACACGGCACACACAAGTGAGGGAGCTAAGTGAATAGTGTTTTATGCCACCCTGTGGGGATTCCAGTTTAGAATAGGTCCCCAGCAACCTATGCTAGTTGTAAGAGTGATACAAATGAGCAGGTGGTGCTACTCAGTGACTTGGTTGATAGCGGGTCTTCACGCTCTGACACCATGTATCTTTGCTCATAACAATCGTCGCAGCATTGTCTGGTCCAGACTCAATTATTTACTGGCAGCCATCATATAGCTGGAATATTGCTGAGTGCAGTGTTTAACTAACAAACAAACAAACATATTATGCCACAGTCAGTCATGTTCCAGTTACATCATGTCAACCTTTAAATAACTGGATCGGGCCAACTATATTTTGATGGCGTGTGCTACAATTCACGATGATACCCAATCAGCCTGGTGACACACTGTGACTGTATGGTCCTCATTAACCAGCTCTCTTGATGAGCATCGGGGACACTGGAGATCTATTCCTCCTTGGAACCCCCAATCTCATTAAAATCAGATCTTAGTTCTTGCTCCAGCTAAACAAACATCTGAGGACATCCCATTAGGGGTCACGTCAGAACGACCTTTCATCCGACCAATCAGAGCGTCGCTTACCAGCTCATGAAAGTGAAAGTCGGAATGTGATTTCTCATCTTGCAGCCTCGAAAATTTTAAAACGGGGTATTCTGAACGATAGTTATGGGCTTAACGACTGAATCTATACAATCTAGACCATATATTAGCCATTCGAGAATGTTCTTTTGTTCATGTTGTTCTGGTTTCAAATTTTAAAGCGAGAATTTGTCAAAATATGATTGGAAGCGTAGTCGCCAATTTGAAATTAGTGCCGTAAAGCACGAGAAAGCTGCCTTCTAACTGGCTAATATCAACTTCTTGTCAGTAATTCCATTCGTCGGTCAGAGTTTGCGACAGTTGGTCTGACGTGACCCGTAATGGGATGTCTTCAGATCTTTGTTTTGAGGCTGCGAGAACTAAGATCTGATTTTAATGAGATTGTGGAACCCCATGCAGGGTTTGTGCAGGGTTTTGGTCACAATAAGCTCCAGATAAGCTACTTATTGGCATAAAATACTCACAACAAATAACCATCAAAGTTACACAATTGATATTGAATTGCATACAAATTCAAATGGACTTGTAAGTAAACCATCAATGTATGAGTACACTGTGTGTAATTACCCATCTATCCTTTTCAGCTGGCATACCTGTATGTATGATCTTCGTTTACTGATTGAATGGAGTGAGTGAGTGAAATGGGTTTAACACAGCTTTGTACAATGTGGTACAGTATTCCAGTTACATCCCAGCATGTCAGCTTGACTAGGGAGGTAAGCCCGGAGAGATTCATGTCTTAGATGTTTACCACTTTGGTGAAACCAACGAGCATGGAGACAAGCCTAGAAACAATCAATCCCACAAACATAGGTTTCTGGAGTATCCAAGGGAAGTAACTCTGCATGGCGCAATGCGGCACCTAAGTAGATGTCTAGGCCACCAGTGGAAGGCGATAATCACATGTCTACCTTATGTCCTTGTAACTCCACATAAAATCATACAATTAATGGGAAATTGATCGATAATCAAGATCTATATTGTATTAAAATGGGACTTGCCCCGCAAAGTGCATAAAATCACTTGAGCACCTTGATTACAAACAAGAAATGACTTGCAAAATATCTGGCAATGTCCAGTTAGCAGTACACATGCTTTGCTTCGGCAAGGGTGGAAACTGGACTTTTATAGTCAGTTAACTCCCTTGCCTCAGGAAGATGAATGAAGATAAGAGTGAGTGAGTGAGTGAGTATGGTTTTACGCCGCTTTTAGCAATATTCCAGCAATATCACGGCGGGGGACACCAGAAATGGGCCTCACACATTGTACCCATGTCAGGAATCGAACCCAGGTCTTCGGCGTGACGAGCGAACGCTTAAACCACTAGGCTACCCGACCGCCCCTGAAGATAAGAGCAAACTGCTAACTATCATAGCAGGATAGTAATATTTGATAGTAATTTCCTGTTAATAATGTCACAGATTCTGGTATATTCAACTAATGGAACCAGATGATTATTGAAGGGAGAGACATGTGGGTTCTAATGATCAATAAATGGTTCATACACATAGTTTTAAATCTTGTAAAAATCAGGTAAGATTTACTGCATACCTGTAAACAGAAACTGAAACTAAATATGAAACTTAGTGACAACAGTGTTCTGAGCCTGCACAAGACATATTCAAGATAGTTAGCAAACCAGAATCTGAATTTCAACTTTCAACCATGTTCAATCACGAATCATAACATCTTATTACTCACCCCTCCAGTGTACCACTGTTTAAGAAACATGCAATTACATCACACATACTGGGACATAACGTGATAACAACACATGCTGGCTATCTTTGTTCATCAGAGGGTTATTCAGAGAGAGTGTCAGTAGCACAGTGTAACTTATCTTCCTGATGCAAGGGAGTTAACTGACTTTAAAAGTCCAGTTTCCTTGCCCCTTGCCGAACTAGGCTGGAATTCCTGGGCTCTATCGTAGCGCCACCAGTGGCTATTACGAGTTATGTCCCTTCTATGCCTCTCCTATTGACCAAGCAGATTCCGCCTCTCATATCACTTGCATTTGCTTAAAACAAAATGGCAGCCCGGTCAAGACAATCTGATCAATAGTCAAGATCTTTATTGTGATGAAACGAGTCTTACATTGCAAAGTGCATCAGATCATGTGAGCACTTTGATTTAAAACATGAAAAGATTTAGAAAATATCTGTTGACAACGAGCCAGCGGTGCACATGCTTTACAAATCCTGCATTCGACCGAAATCTGCATGAAAGTTTACGAACCGGACTTCAATTTTGTTGCGCGATTTTGATTGGACTATACATAGACTCATTAGTCCAGACAAAATGTAACTCCATAATACCAGCCTAATTCTGCAAGGGTGGAAACTGGACTTTTATAGTCAGTTAACTCTCTTGCCTCGAGAAGATGAGTGTAACTGTACTCAATATCTGCTCTGCTTCACCCTTTTCATGTCAATGAAACACCAGAAAATCGGCACAATTTACAGGCATCAGAAAACTTTCTTCAAACTAAGATAATCATGATAATGTGCACAGTTTCAGAGCTCCAGATAACCTTTTGAGCAATTGAGTTTTTACTCGAAGGTTTCTATTTTAATTCGGTTATTACATTTTTCATTGGGTAACCAATTTTTTTTCATTCATCTAATCAACACTGGGTTTTTCCCAAAATGAGTAAGCATTTGAGATTTAAAAATAATGAAATAATGTTTTAGATGTATATGACGGTTCTAAGTATAGGCTTCACTCAGAAACTTCATTAGCTCATAATTGTGTTCCAGAAATTAGCTCTGTTGTACACATGCTGAAAAAGCTTCATTGGGTATTTACATGAAATATTTTCAAACAATTGAGTTTTCATTTAATACATGCGTTTCTGTACGCAAGTTATTTAAAAGTAATTGGGTTTTGAATAGTTTTGGGGGGTATTTTACGCAAAATGCAGCTTATCTGTAGCTCTGAATATTGTGAGCAATAATCCGCCACTCAATCAACCAAGCCTGACCACCCGACCATTTTGTTGCCAGCATAGGTTAGCTGAGGAACTATTCTAACTTGGATTCCCCATGTTGAACAGACTACAGTAAAATCTCAATAAGACGGTACGCACCTGTGTGAGTTTCAACAGCGAGCCCCGGGATGGCAGAATAGGGTCGTCTCTCTTGTCCCGAACAAACAGGTGCTGCAACATTCAGTGACAAACTCTACAGACATGAACATGATGAATTCAGCTGAACTCACATTATCTTTGGGATTTGGGGTCAGAGTTTTCCAAGAAAATATCCTGAATTATTTGATGGGCACTTCTTTGAACTTGACAGATTACAAAGTGGACACAATTTATGGATAACACCTTCTTTTATGTATTATAATACCGTATTGGATGTAATAAGCACCCCGCTCTAATAAGCGCCCACGGGGACTTTTGCTAAGATATTGGCTAGTGAACAATCCCAATTAGCACCCCTTCCGATTGATCAATGTACACAAGACTTATTTATTCGCGTATAATATGCACTCATCTGTTATATGCACCCTTAATTATGGGCAATTAAATTATGGAAAAATATATGTGTCGTACATAAATATTTCAGTATAAATAACGATATTTATCTTTCAACTCTGTTTTTTTCCACCAAAATAATATTCTAATAAGAGCCCCCTATTTCTAATTTTGAGAGCGCCCTGGGCGCTTGTTACGTCGAATCAATAGTGACATTTCGGTACAGATCCTTATACGGTTGCCAAGCCAGAATATAGAGGATCTGACCTATACCAAAACATCGCTATAATAGTACACTAAAGAAGTTGTTATCAAAGCTTGCTTCACTTCCATGATTCCTGGTTCACAAATTCATAGATTCATAGCAAATCATAGTGAGTCATAGCAAAACGACACCAGCTGCAATGGAGACCATTTCACAAAGACCAGTCAGTCAGTCAGTCAGTCAGTCAGTCAGTCAGCGCTAGCCTCTATACACGCTCTGCATGCCCAAAGGGCTACAATCAGCATATATCATGACATATAATACTAGTGAAACAGAAGAAAATTTAGCTGAGATTTGAACCTGTCCCAAGTTGGAGTTTTATGTCAGAGGTAGTTTATTTCACAATTCTGAAAAAAACCCCACTGATTTCTTTCCATAACTAGTTAGTTTGTCTCACAAGAAGCACTGATTGTCCAAATGCAGAGACCTCTTGGACCTGTACTTGTACAGTAGGTTGATTACATCAGTAGGTGCTAGGTCAAGTTGACACCCATTTGTGAGACAGAGTACTTTGAACTTTATTCTGGCATAACTTGCAACCATGCTGTGACATAATGGAAATATGTACATGATGCATGTAAAACGCTTATTTCAACATTTTGGGAAATCATATCAAACAACATTAGGATATCTTTCTTTAAAATCCTATGTTCAACAACAAAGTACGGTACTGATTGACTATGAAGACTCTCACCTGGACACTGGACTTGATGGAATGTCCAGCCTGTTCCCGAACTGCGAATGAAGTGGTTCTGGACAATGCCCTCAGGTCCCTCCACACTCCCTCCCACTTGATGGAGTGAGACCCAAATATTGTTGGGAACTGCAGCACAAATATACATGTTCAATCCCTCCACACTCCCTCCCACTTGATGGAGTGAGACCCGAATATTGTTGGGAACTGCAGCACAAATATACATGTTCAATCCCTCCACACACCCTCCCACTTGATGGAGTGAGACCCGAATATTGTTGGGAACTGCAGCACAAATATACATGTTCAATCCCTCCACACTCCCTCCCACTTGATGGAGTGAGACCCGAATATTGTTGGGAACTGCAGCACAAATATACATGTTCAATCCCTCCACACTCCCTCCCACTTGATGGAGTGAGACCCGAATATTGTTGGGAACTGCAGCACAAATATACATGTTCAATCCCTCCAAACACCCTCCCACTTGATGGAGTGAGACCCGAATATTGTTGGGAACTGCAGCACAAATATACATGTTCAATCCCGCCACACTCCCTCCCACTTGATGGAGTGAGACCCGAATATTGTTGGGAACTGCAGCACAAATATACATACATATATATACAATATACATATACATATACATATACAATCAAATGCATTGTTATCAGTTGCTTTTTCTCTATTTGTTTACTGTTTAATGCCACTCTCGGCACTATTCCAGCCAAGAATCAAGTCGGAACCAGACAATCCTGTGATGAGCAATCTTCCACTTCATCAAGGTATGGTGACACGTTATCAAAACAAGGTCACCAAGACTGATGACACGATCCATTAAGTCACCTCTTACGACCAATATGGATGGCTGAAATGGACTACATATTGTAGCCGTGTGGGGAATTGAACCTGGATCTCCGGCCAAAATGAGCGTCCGTTTTAACCCCACCGCTCCCAATGTGAAATAACACAATTGTAATTTTGAGCATGTTTTTCTGTGGAACATCATTCCCTGAAAACATGTGAGTTTCCATCACTACCATGCTGACCTTTATCATGTTAATGCTACACCACTACTCACAGTGATATCAAGTGCCACGCCCCTGTCTGTCTCCTTGTAGCCACTCCATGGGTATTCTCCATGATTCTGGTAGATGGTCGTACCAAACCTGAAGGAAACCAGAATGTATTTTACTCAAAAACATATGTCTCCTGTTTCTGATGCATTAGTTCAAGTTGTTACTGTAAATGTGATTTCAAATCCCCCCCAAAAAACCAATAATAGCAAATTATAGCTTAGAAGGATAATGGTTTCATGCAGAAATATTCATTAACTATAGAGTTTTGGTGGAAAAAAAACTGCTTCTTTGAGACTTAGTCCAAATTAGTTCCATAGAAACACAACAAATTAAAAACTTAAAAACATAAAAACATAAAAATATGAAAAGGCAATAGTTGAGCATACGGTCATTACACAGGAATAGTTTCATGCAAAAATATTCATTTGTTTGAGAGTTATGGCCTGGAAATGAACCCTATCTGTGTTTGAGAATGTCGAAATTGTTTCCATGGAAACATTAAATATAAAATTTAATAGCAAAAGTTAAGCTAGTTAAGCTGATGCGTAATGCATATGGCAAGTTTCGTTGAAAAACATTGTATAGTATTCATATAATGGCTTGGAAGAGGATGGGAATGCAGACACCCTGCATCAGATAATCAGCAAAGTCTCATAACACTCCTAAAAATCTCATTGATTTTCGATCTAAGGGAGATTTTTCTCTCATAGGTAAACCTTTCCAGGCTAATCCCTGACACTACATACACCATGTCTGGGTTGCCATTGAGTGGCTTGTTAAAGGTGAGATGGTATCCACGTGACTGCTTGGTTCCGTGTGTATAATCGCCCTGGACACGCTCACCCCGACCGAACAGGTTAGGAAGACGCAGCCCAAACAACTGTCGAGAGAAAGGAGTGATGAAAGTGATGTATATCACTTGCATTTGCTTCAAACAAAACGGCAGCACCCAGTCAAAACGATCTGATTGATAATCAAGATCTATATTGTGATGAAACGGGTCTTACTCCATGAAGTACATCGAATCATGAGAGCACCTTAATTAAAAACATGAAAAGATTTGGAAAACATCTGTTGACGCAGAGATGGTGGTACGCATGCTTGGCAAATACTGCAATCGACCGAAATTTGCCCAGCAGTTTAAAAACCAGATGTTGATTTTGTTACGCGATTTTGATTGGACTATGCATAGACTTGTCAGTCCATCCAAAAACTCCATGACTCAAGCCTAGTTCGGCAAGGGTGTAAATTGGACTTTTATAGTCAGTTGACTCCCTTGCCTCAGGAAGATGCTATAGAAGCAGTACATATTACAATACAATACATGGTTCTCTAAAATCAGCATACCAGGTATGTTGATACTTGTTTTGAGTTTTCCATTTCAATACTAACTATTTCTGCAGACCAGGTTTTATCATGATAACAAACAAGAAGAGGCACACCGACTGAGCATCAGTCCGTCCCGTCATAATGACGATGGTGATAGTCAGTCATTTGTTTTAAACACCAGCAAACATATCAAAAGTGGTATATAAAACATGTTAACATAAAATACACAAGGCCGATGTTTCCAAGCGAAAACGTGTATAACGAACAACGGATATATAACGAACTGATTTCTCTGGTCCCTTGTAGTTCGTTATATCAGTGTTCTACTGTATGCAGTTTGTTTGTTGCTTAAGGCAGCACAACAACATTTCAGCAATATCAAACAGCATGTAAATAATCAAGTCTCGACCTGACAACCCAATGATGATGATGAGCAACTATCCACTGATGTGCCATGGCATGCAATCAACAGTCATAGTGTCTGACCACCTGATCCATTTAGCCACCTCCTACGACCAGCAGAGGGTGCTGGAGAGCTATTCTGACCCTGCATAGGGATTAATGGTTAGAATAAAATTAAAATAATTGCAAAATATTATTTGCTTTAAGTGTTAAAACATGCACAGGGGTAATTAAAATTCAAGTAATGTGTGCCTTATGGTGTAATGGTAATTCCCCTTGGGTCCCAATTTGTAAGCTCAAAAATATTCCTGGAATCCTTGGGGGCACATAGACCCAGGTTCATCCCTCAAAGAGTGAGTGAGTGAGTGAGTATGGTTTTACGCCGCTTTTAGCAATATTCCAGCAATATCACGGCGGGGAACACCAGAAATGGGCTTCACACAATGTACCCATGTCGGGAATCAAACCTGGGTCTTGGGCGTGACAAGCGAACACTTGGACCACTAGGCTACCCGACCGCCCCCATCCCTCAAAAAGAACTGACAGGCATTTGCATCATATTGCAGGGACTGACATGGGTGTATCTATTTGTGAGTCCGGCTCAAGTTGACCAGTGTCACCTACATGACGTCTATGCACTGGCAACGTGTGACAGTTTACACGTTTAGTCATATATACATCAAGTGGCATTCTCGGAACATGCTGAAGTTTTGTGCTAATAAAACTGAGAGGTATTTCCTTGTCTGATGTAAAACTAAGGCAGCCGAAAAAGGTTGGGTGGTCAGACTCTGTGACTTCGTTGATAGCATATTCTTGTACCCTGATTGTTTTTGTTTGCTTGTTTGTTCGTATGGTTATTTGTTTGTTGTTTTACGCTGCACTCAGCAATATTCCAGTTATATGATAGCGGTCTGTAAATAATCGAGTTTGGACGAGACAATCCAGCGATTGACATCATGAGCATCGATCTACGTAATTGTGATATGATGATGTACATCAACCAAGTCAGGGAGCATGACCTTCTGATGCCCGTTGGTCGCCTCTTACGACATGCATAATCGCCTTTCACTGCAAGCATGGGTTGCTGAAGACGTCTTCTAAACTGGACCTTCACGGGTCGTTCCTCAATTGCTCACAATATCGATCACTGTATTGCCTGTTCTAGAATTGATTATTTACAGGCTTCTGCCATACACTGATATAGCTGTAATATTGCTGAGGCAATTTCTGTAATATTGTGTTAAACAAAACAACAGAATGAACAAAGGTCAATTAACTCACCAGACTTGCATCGTTGTAGCCAATGAGAGTGTTGATGCCCCCGGACACAGGGCGCAGTTCATGCACACCAAATGTAACTTCATAACCAACTTTCTTCACATCTGTCAATCAAAAGTCAAAAGTGTAGAGATTTGGTGGGAAACAACTGTTACTTGTTTGAGACTAAGTCCAAATTGTTTCCGTGGAACACAAGAAATAAAAAAAAAGGTGGAAAATTGAAAAATATGAAAAGGCTGTAGGTGAGCATGTGGTCATCATGGCCATTGCACCATTCAATAGTTTGAGAGCTATGGCTCGTAAACGAAGACTTGAGTTGTTTGAGACCAAACTGTTTCCATGGAAACATAACAAAATAAAATTTATCAGATTTCAAAATAGCAAAAGGCACCAGTTAAGCTGATGAGCACTGCATATGCATAATTCCATTTAAATATGAGGAAGGTTTTCAAGTTAAGCTTGGAATAGAAGGAGGTTTGGGAGGGGTGGAGAGACAAAATGACACAGTTCATTTCTTCCATATAAAAAGTTATAGATTTGAATGTTATATTTTTTAGGGAGAGGTCATTATCGGGTGGGTTTGGAGGCATGATAAAATGTTACATAAAATGGGTGGGACAGCAAAATAAGATACAGCCCTGAGACCAATCTCCTAAATTCCTATCTAGACCTGCAAATATCCTGATTATTCAATTTACTGCTAACTATGAACTAGGCATTTGAATTTTCTGCCTTTATATTGCCCATCTCAAGCATGGAATCTTAACAAATGTAATAGTTTCTGAGGCCATGCATAATGAATTTAGTATTTACATATTTTGCATTGACCATCAATCAAATGAACGGATCTTCGCATCATCTTTGATCCAGTCACGTACATCAGCAGACATCTTACCTTTACATGTGTCGATAGAAATTGAAATGTTCTTGAAGAGGCCCAGTCGTTCAAATCTGGTCTTGACATCATGGCTTATTCTTACCATCTGAAAATGTATAAATATTAATGAACTTCATAAGGCAATTCATTAGAATTGGAAATTTTACATTAAATTGTATATTAATAATGCTTATCCTATCTCACACTGTGCATTTCATTCTTCCTTTTCGATCCCTGCGTCAAAAACTCCTAAAATAGGTTTCCAGCTTTGAAAAATGCCTCACCCAGCCACACCCCAGCCGTAACCATGGCTACCATGACTAAACATGGACTGTGCACTGCCGGACTCCAGCGCAACTTGATCATGTGACGTCCCAGGATTACTCATTCTCTTTAGTTGAGCACACAGGATGGATAAGTGGGAGTTTTCATGCAAATAATCGTGAAAAAGTAAAAAAATCTTTGAATATCTGATGATCATTCTGGTGAAATTTCAATACTGTGGAACAAAGGATCCTGTCCTCCAGGTAGAGATACATCAGGTGAAAAAATAAACTGCAAACAGTAGCCAGGGTTTGGATATCCATAAAGATGGCTGTGAACAATGATCCCAGGATGAAGGAGGTGAGGTGAGGTGAGGTGAGGTGAGGTGAGGTGAGGTGAGGTGAGGTGAATTGGGGTTTAACGTCGCGTCCAAGATTATTGCACTTATATAGCGACGTGCATGCACGTGTATGTGTGTGGCTGCTTGTACTAGTCCCGACTGATGCCGATTTATAGTGCTAGCACACTGAGTGAATGAGTGAGTGAATATGGTTTTACGCCACTTTTAGCAATATTCCAGCAATATCACGGCGGGGGACACCAGAAATGGGCTTCACACATTGTACCCATGTCGGGAATCGAACCCGGGTCTTCGGCGTGACGAGCGAACGCTTTAACCACTGGGCTACCCGACCGCCCCTGCTAGCACACTGAGATACACTCAGACACAATATACTCCGAGCCGACCAGTCCTTGTTTTAGCCCCTTAATATTGAGCGCCAGACAGGGTAACCAAAAAGTACCATCTTTTAACATCTTTTGGTATGACGCGGCTGGGGATTGAACCCCAGACCTTTTGTTCTCCGGGTGGACACTCTACCATTAGACCACGGAGGCGGTCCCAGGATGAAGGAACCACATGGTGACCACTCAGTTCTCCTCTTGTGACAATGTTCCCTTCTTTTGATGATATTGACCCACATTGTCAAATCTATACCAAGCCATCTGAGGAAGCTCTTCGAACGTCATAATGAATGCTGATGATCCCTGAGCAATCGTTGAACCTCATCCGATCCCCATGGTTCATCAGCAGGTGAATAATCTCATGTTCCCTGGGACTCCCTCAACAATCTTCCGATCGGTTCTTGGTGGAACATGTAACAGAGGTCAAGAGAGACGAATACCTGTGAAATGTTTGTCACAAATCATTATCTCAATAAAATGCCGTGGAAGAGATTGTTGCTGGTTATTAATTCACAGGCCTATCAATCGTTGCAGACTCTCCGATCGTTGAAATGAATCAGCCATCAGAAAAAAGTCCCTCCAATCAGTTTTCTTTACTTTCCATGTCCGAAGCTACGTACACTAAGAGTGGTAGACATGGCTTGAATATCAGACTCTGATATATAATATAATATAAGAGAACTCTGATGATTGGGTTTGGTGATCCAATGAAGTATGCAAGTGAGGATGATCCAACTCTAGTGTGGGTCCTGTGCAGTTTTTATTAAAATGTTCTCTTGTAGTTAGTTGTCACACGCTTTCGGTTTCTTGCTATCCATGCTTAAGAGAAACAGGAATGAAGCCGTGCGCAGTCCATTGTTAGTGATGGTAGCCATGTTTATGGCTGGCGTGTGTTTGGGTGAGGTGTTTTATGAACCTGGAAACTTGTTTTAGGATTGTTTTCACACAAGGATCAAACTATAAGGATGAAATGCGCAGTGTCAGAACGGATAAGCTTTACAAAATTGCAAATCTACAGGATGTTTAACAGACAAAACAAGAATGGCAAATGACAAAATAACCCAATGTTCACAGAATGTTTCTTATTTCCTGGATTATAGATATTATATGCTACAAAAAAAGTCTTTTGTTTGTTTGTTTATTTTTTGGTGCCTAATGTTGCACTCAGCAGTATTCCAGCTATAAGATGGCAGTCAGTAAATAATCAAGTCAGGACTAGACAATCCAGTGACAGACATGATGAGCATCGATCTAAGCAATAGGGAGAACTTTTCTATTCTTCAACATATTTTCCAGGGTATCCAGGGTAACCCTTTTGTCCTGCAATTAATTGTTTCTTGGAAGGTGAACAAATAAATGTGAATTACAGAGAAAAATGTTTATGTGCTTTTCAAATAATTTCTTCCGTTTTCTACTTTTCACTTTTAAGGGTCATTAGAATCCAAATATGGTACCCATTAAGACAAATGAGTCTGGTCTATGATTTAACATGCTTAAGAACATTTAACTACTCACATCCTGGAAGTTGTTTGCCTCAAATATTGGCTGCACTTCGTTGACAATGATGTCATTTTTGGTTCTGCCAAGGCCATCAACGACAATGCGACACACTTTCACCTGAAAAAACAACAACATCCTGTTTAGAACAATAAAGTCAATGACCATGATGACTGGCGCCTCGAAGGTTGTAGAACATGAATACACAAAACTTTTTTATGAATCCCAACCACAATTTTTCAAACATTGATTCAAGGCTACTGGTACTTCCTGCCTCTTAATTGGGCTTGTTTCAGGTGATAACAACTACGACACACTTTCTACAGAGTGTTGTTTACGATACTGAGATGATGATTCCCCTGCAGAAGGTTGAATTTGAATTTAACATTTACAAAACATTATTAACATAGTTTTTTGTTTGTTATTTGACGCCACTCAGCAATATTCCATTTGGTCGCCTCTTAAAACAAGCAGAAGTTTGGGGGGATCAATGGTAACCTGGAGCGAGTGAGTGAGTGAGTATGGTTTTACGCCGCTTTTAGCAATATTCCAGCAATATCACGGCGGGGAAACCAGAAATGCGCTTCACACATTGTACCTATGTCGGGAATCGAACCCAGGTCTTCGGCGTGACGAGCGAACCCTTTAACCACGTACATGTACTAGGCTACCCGACCGCCCCATGGTAACCTGGAATACCCAAGGGTGTTATAAACATTGAGCATGAATAGCCAGCTGCTTGACACTTAAATCAACTTGCCCACATTTCAAGACTGAAGACAAAAATGAAAGCGATGTCAATGGCACCTGTTCATCTATGAGTATTGTCTCCTCCTCCTACCCCATCCAGAAACATAGCATCAATAAAATATCACTGGATCATTACTTTACACCAACTTACACTGTGATCACTGGTGATGTTGTTCATGTTCGTGTTTGTTTGCTTGTTGTTTAACGCCGCACTCAGCAATATTCCAGCTACATGATGGTGGTCTGTCAATAATCGAGCCAATCCAGTGATTGACACCCTGAGCATCGATCCACGCAATTGGGATATGGTGATATGGATCAACCAGGTCAGTGAGCCTGACCACCCGATCCCGCTGGTCGCCTCTTACAACAAGCATAGTTACCTTTCACGACAAGCATGGGTTGCTGAAGACCAATGCTTCATTGGATCTTCACGGGTTCAAAATAGCTGTGAAAATTATGTGTATGGATCACTGAAAATCAGTCATGACACCAGATATTTGCAACCTATTTGCTGTAATTGTCGCCAACATGACAAATTCTAACCCAGATCTTCACGGGTAGTTGTTCATTTAAGAGGGGTGTCTGAGCCTAACTACAAAGGATGTACACCCTTAACAACCAAATGAACAACCCGGCAAGCCTATGAAATGATAAAGATGTAATTTCAGCTGTGGGTGACTTTTCACACCACCAGATGAGGTGAAATTAGGTTTAACGTCGCGTTCAAGATTATTGCATTTATATAGCAACATGCGTGCGTGCATGTACTTGTACTAGTCCGGACAAATAATGATTTATTGTGCTAGCTCACTGAGATACCATGCCGCAGTTTAACATGAATACTCAACTCGGAACACAGTATGCGGAATCCTTGTTTTAGCCCCTTTATGCCGAGCGCCAGACAGGGTAACAACAAGTACCATCTTTTAATGTCTTTTGGTATGACGCCCAGGGGAATCAAACCCCGGATCTTCCACTCTCCGGGCAGATGCTCTACCACGAGACCACGGAGGAGGTCTACACCACCAGGAGGAATCCTTCTACATCAGTGGAATCCAGGCACTGCATTGTTGCAGAAGTGTGTGGACCTTGGATTATGCTTAAAATTGACGGCAACCAACTTGATAAACGCAGTCCATCACAGTTAGGCTCAGAACTTATCCTTCGGAATTCAGACTGATTGATGAACGTATCACTTACCGGTATCTTTTCAAAGGAAAGCTCCCTCTCAGTGCCTGGCTGGCTGTCCTGCATGCTGCCAGTCCACTCTGGCTCCTGCATCAATAAAGTGAGTGAGTGAGTTAGTTCTGTTTAATGCTGCATTTAACAGTATATCCAGTTATATCACGGCGTGTCAGCTTAATGTGGGAGGAAAGCCCGAAGCGATGCATGTTTTAGACGTTATCCGCTTCGGTGAAACCCACGAGCACAGGTATGGTGCTGACAAACCTAGAAGCTGGGATTTGAACCCACAATCAGAGGTTCCTGGTGTGCCCAAGGGACGCAACGCTGTACAACGAATTGCGGCGCCTTAGACGACTGGGCCACCCGTGCCCCCACATTAATAAAGACACAGCTGGTGTATTTAGACCATGGTGACAGGCAAATGCATGATTAATGCTCAGTTTTTTACACAACTGTGTTATGAACCAGAAAAAAAATGTGCATTGCATCCCAAAAAACACACAATATTCATTGTACCAAATTCTTGACAACAAATATAAAGTTCCTGTAATTAAAGTAATTTTTAAACCATACAGTACAGTACACAACATCATTTTATTATTTTACAGGACCCAAATAGTTGCTGTAAGGACCTTAAAAGTAGTAATTGTGGGTCCTCAGGACCCCGAGTTTTGTAGGTCAATGTCAAACCCTGATACTACAATCAAACACAACACATACAGTGGAATCTAATCAAGACTTGAGGATGTTAAATTCCTAGCCCTGATTAGAGATCTGGACTTGTGAGAGTCTAGCAAGAGTTATGTCCCTTCGGCCTTGGTATCTCACACACATGAAAACTCAAGATTATAGACACATGGAGAAATTATTGATGTTTTAGCTCAAACCTCGGGTCGCTGGTGAATTAAAAGCAATGATTGACTCTTCAATGATTACCTTACAAAATAAAGAATAGATATGACTATGTGGGCAATGGATGAAAGTAAAATATGTCTTTTTATTATTTATCATGTTTGTACAATGTGAATGTCAAATTTGAAAAGAGTTTCCATGGGACAACACTACTTGAAGTATGTGTCTTTCGTGGCTACATATCCGGAATTTATGGGTTGTTAACCATCTATCATGTACCTGGTTTAGGCAGGGAAACAATCTGCCATTTTAAGTAACTTCAAACATGTTATTATTCAACTGGAATTATCAGATTATAGTTAATTTCCATAACTGCTGCTTTACTAGACTATGGAGCTGTAAACCTGTCCTGTGACAAAAAATACATTGCTCAATGTGGGAGTAAATACCAAAGTGATGTCAATTCTAGAATGTACAACTTAGGTGGAGCCAATAAGCAGATAGACAGATTGGTTGGGTTTTTTTGTTTAACGCCGCACTCAGCAATATTCCAGCTATATGACGGCGGTCTATAAATAATCGAGTCTGGACCAGACAATCCAGTGATTGATAACATGAGCATCGATCCACGCAATTGGGATCGATGACATGCATCAACCAAGTCAGCGAGCCTGACCACCCGATTCTGTTAGTCGCCTTTTACGACAAGCATAGTCACCGTTTACGGCAAGCATGGGTTCCTGAAGACCTATTCTAACCCGGAATCTTCACGGGTCTAGATCATGGGTTGCTGAAGACCTATTCTACCCCGGAATCTTCACGGGTCTAGATAGACAGACACACCATGAATCATTATCATAGGGAATCCAGCATTAAAACCTAAACTAAACATTATAAGATTCTGGCACGCCACAGGGACGCAACACTGTAAATTGTAGCAGCTTAGATGACTAGTCTGCTACTATTCTCTTCAATTCATGGTTTGTGGAAAATGTTTCAACGTTGAGGTGTCAAAGTGCCAAAGGAATCATCTGAGGTGGCAGAAAACTTAATCATCAATGGTCACTTATTTCAAAATGGCTAACATATGCATGCAATGTAAATGTACCTACATACTGATTGAGAGAATTGAGAATAACTTCTCTTTTGAACGGTATGTTAGTTTGATCAAGGCATGTCAGTTTAATGTGGCACGAAAACCCAAAGTAATGCTTGATGTTGTTTGTTTGTTGTTTAACAGCGCATTGAGCAATATTCCAGCTGTATGACGGCGGTCTGTAAATAATCGAGTCCGGACCAGACATTCCAGTGATTGAAATCATGAGCATCGATCCATGCAATTAGGATACGATGACATGCATCAACCAATATATCACGTGACTAACCACGGGTATTAATGTGCATACCCGGGTCCTACTCAGGAACCACCCGAACCGAGTTACCCATCCCAACCCAACAACTCACATGCCCATAACACTGTTAATCAGCATTTAGTGAGGAAATATATGTGCATAATGTTTGTGAGACGTAAGTTACTTTTTTTCAAGAATATTCAATGTATATATATAAACTAAATTACTCATATCATCTACTAACATTAGTTCATATCATCACCATCATGATGCAAGAGTAGAACACTCATCGTTCACAAAAGGGGTACACGTGCATCGCATGGAAACTGGGTTGTGACAGTCAGTAAACTGCAAGTACAGCGAGACGTCAAACAAATATGTCTTCAAATGTGTTGAATCGCAAGACTGCAGTTGGCGTGAACTTGCGAAGGTGACTCGGTGCCGGTCGCTTTTTTCACATCGCCAGTAAAATACTTCTTACGCATAATGCCATTTTATAGCAGCATTACGACGTTAGGGTGTATCAATTAAATTATACACGAATGAAACTGACAAATGTTAACAAAACAAGCTTGGCACCTTTGCATGCACAGTTCCCATGTCTTCACGAAGTTGCAGGTGCGTCCTACCTGAAACGCGAGAGTTACTCAAGGGCGAGTAACTCCAAACGGATTTGATTTATCAAATTTGTGCCTTGCGTACCAGCAATTGATGTTCAAATCTAACAATCTTTTTTGCGACAACTTTTGTTTACTAACAGCAATAAATCGTCTTGTTTTCATTTTTTAACTTTACTGATTTATTCAAAACAGTGTTCCAATATTGTGGTAGAATTCCCTGAATATGCAGCTGTGTTCTTTTTCTACTGATTAACGTCGCACAAACTTTGGTTTATTCAACGAGTACTACCTTATCACGTCCTTGATGCTATATATTAGTGACTGTATCTAAACGTCGCATATTGAAATCAATAAGTCAATCCTATCTTCATTGATCCGGCAAATTTCTAAATGTCACTTTTATCTTATTATATAAAATAATATTATATTGCCCATGCTGGTCAAAAAATAAATTATGCATGTTTTAGCAGAGATGTGTAAAAAACACAAAAATGATTTTAGAAATAGGTAGTTAAAGGTCGTGTCTAATTACAGTGATGGATTCAGAGCGCCAGCTCCATTTAAGTCAATTGTCATAAAATATATACCGTATTCGACGTAACAAGCGCTCATGGCGCTCTCAAAATTAGAAATAGGTGGCTCTTATTAGAATATTATTTTGGTGGAAAAAACAGAGTTGAAAGATAAATTTCGTGGTTTATGCTGACAGTCTGAAATGTTTATATTCGACAGATATATTTTTTCCCGAATATAATTGCCCATAATTAAGGGTGCATATTACACACGAGTGCATATTATAGACGGATAAATAAATCTTGTGTACATTGATCAATCGGAAGGGGTGCTAATTTGGATTGTTCACTAGCCAATATATTAGCAAATATCGCCGTTGGCGCTTGTTAGAGTGGAACGCTTATTACGTCGAATACGGTAATTGGTTCAGCCATTGGTTTAAATTGAACTTTTCTTTTACTGCGATGTTAGATGTGTGCGGAAAGGTGCTAGATATAATCGCGCTTTTCTAAACCGTTAATCTGGCAGGTGCCAACTTCTAGAAAAAGGTACACTATTCTAAAGTATAGTCAAACTTAAAACAGAGTCCAAGGTTGGAAATAGCGTTATGTATGTATTCTCAAATTGGATATAAGCGGGCAAATGTATATGTATCTATACAGTGAGGCGGTCGGGACCGGAGAATAGGTTCGAGATTTTAGTACTTTCGAGACAACGGAGTTCGAGAAAACGAGGTTCGACTGCAGTTATCAGTAAGCTATCCCAGATACAGCCCAGAACAAGCATGCGCAAAGCGCACAAAATAGCCCCCAGCCATGCATATAACAACACTGTGCATTATAAGCCAGTGGGACATTAACACCTGTATGTCTTATAAAAAAACCATCACATCTGCCGCAGTGAATAATGCACAATCTCGCACTGGTCTCGCTGTATAACTTAAACAAAGGCATCCCCGATGTGTGACAAAACTAGGGCAGAACATGTACAGATGCAAATTTAAAGTCACCTTTTTAGCAGAAATATATTGTTTGTTTACTCGATAGTTTACCTATAATTACTAATAATGTTTGAAGAGTATCATACTTATTTGATAGTGATTCATAAACATATGTTAATGTTTGTTTGTTTGTATGTTGCGAATTAAGCTACACAAGAAAAGGTATTCAATAAGTAATGAAAACATACCACAAAATTTACTTTTTCACTAATGCACATTTTAATTAAACTTGATCTTTTGGTAATTTGGCATCGGAACAATTACATGCACCGCTTATGTATCGGCAGCTGTTTTAAAACACATCTGTGACGTCATTCTATTGTTTGAACGCTCCATTATTTTTCAGGAATGGAGAGTTGCTTGTCAACTGTACATTATCTTGAAGCAGCATTTGATTTTTTCAAATATTTTCACCTACAGAATATTTTGTCAAAGTGTAAAAGTAGGGATGAGTTTTAAGTAGGGGAATAGCCTCGTAACTCTCCATTCCTTAAAAATAATGGGCCTCGGCCCCTGCGGGGCCTCTGCTCCATTATTTTTAAGGAATGGAGAGTTACTCGGACATTCCCCTCTACGTAAACTGCCTGTCTGTAATGTCGTGTCACTGTTCATGCTGTGCATCTACTCCCAAGCGTGACTGTCATTGAGGGGCTCGAAATCATGTGACGATAACAAGATGGCGCCTGATCGACTCGTCTCACTAGGCGAGGCATTATCGCTATACAATTAACAAGACGTGGCCATTTGACCATCCAAGTGTAAACAGAAACACATTTTCTCAAAGGTAAGACTTAATCTTAGTGTGTCGTTATTAGACACGTACTGATCGTGAGAAATATTTCTTAGGGCCTCGAATACCCATAACACGAAGACGTGTGTGCGTGCGTGCATGGGAGCAATTAAAAGCATACATATGTAGACCATTGAGGGTTGATGCGATATCTTGATATTCTAGTGAGTGCTCGTTACATGCAAATAAATCATCCAGGGAATCAAGTTGCTTTTTGAAAGTCAGCAACTACTTAATTAATTGCTATATTTGTTGAGATACTCCCATCCCCTTTTTTCGAAAAATACTTATCATGTTAAGGCATAAGACATATAACTTAATTATTTGGTGACATGTATTTAAAGAAATATAACATAACAGCTTTTCAAAAGCATTGTAATGCCGTGATCTGGATTTGAGATACCTTGTAATCAGCTGCCTTTGGTAACGCTTATTCGTTCATGTAGTGGGTCACCTCCCTGGCTACTATCTGTCAGATTATCTATCATTCAAATGTTGCTTGGTTGAAACATCACTTCAGTTGTGAGTTGGAATAGACAGACGACGCGATCTACCAGTGTCCCCAAGTCCGGCGTTCGGCAATGTAAGTGCACCAGTTTCAATCTTTTCTGTGTATCAATGGTTTGCAGTGATTTTTATTCAGACATGGCACAGGGTATTTCCACGATATTGCCGATATATTATCACATTTCTCACTGTATTCAATACCACATTTGAAAATAGATGTTTGGAATATTTTTTATGACATTTGGTGAATGTGCCAGACAATGAATCGATCTGAACCGTTGTCTGTGTTCTGTTCAATGAAAACCGTTATCGCGTTTTGGCGATTGTGTTGTCGGATACAATATAGTGTCTGTTCAGATTGGGGCGATATGTACTACAAACTAATGATTTGAATGTAGCTATCGTTGAGGTGCACATTTGCAGTAACGTTGCATTGCATCTGAACGCAACATGAACATGTGTGTGTTTGTGTGTGTGTGTGTGTGTGTGTGTGGGGGGGGGGGGGGGGGGGGGGGGGGATGGGTTTGTGTCCATATCCCAACATCAAAGGCAAATTTCAACTTTTACCGCTTAAAACCGTCCTATGTAGGGTGTGACTCCAACCGCTCACCGTAGGCATGAACGACTGGGGATGGGGCGGGCAAAACCAGGGGCAGGCTGTGCACCATAGGCGTTACGCCAGGTTTACTGACGACTCATTGTTTTGTCTCCGAATAAAAGATGGCAGAAAACGTTGGCGCGTCGAGGCGAGAGGTATGCCAGGGCAACAATTCTGTGTATGTATCGGAACACTACATCCCCACCACCCACTGAAAAGAAAGAAAAATGTCCGTTTTAGATTTTGATTTGTAATGTGACACTATGTCAATAACACATCACACAACAGCCCTGTGTCAAAGTCGTGGTGACATTGCCTTGCAATATCGTCACCAGACACTCCAAGATCAAGGAAATGTGTATGTTTTAGATTTCAAATTGGCAATTGATATATTTTAAATATTACTTCATACTACTCTCCCGTACCTAATCATCAACCTTATCTGAAACACACTAAAGCTAACCCACTGAATTCAATTCGAGTTCACTTTCATCTCGTGTTTACTGCACCGACCTACATCTCAAGGAGCGCCTATATGTCGTGGACATGCAAAGTGAGATTTATGGCTTGTCATTATAAACAGTTGGTATTTTGCTGTCTCTAAGTAACCTTGTGAGAGGTACTACTTTAAAGTCAGACCTGATCAGAGGCCTTACATTTGAATTGTAAAAAAGGCATTTTAATATACATCTAATCTTGATTTTGTACTGGTCAAAATCACTATTTCTTCATATGAAAATTGAATGACGTGAATCGAACCTGCAACCTCACATATCATATTTATTGTAACCCATTATTTTCCCACTGAGCTTCCGGAGCAGGTAGTGAAAGGGTACTCAATCTTACATGTCAGGATTTCGTGACTTGTCTGCACGCGGTCTTTCTCTCGCCCGATGTGATCGAATTCATTTTATACCACGACTACTGTATTGTATCATTTCCCTCGCTTCTGGGTTTCACATTTTCAACCCAAATCACGGAGTCGTGTTTTAACTATGATTTACACTTTGCCGTGATAAACCCTGTCCTTGGATGCACGTGACATGTCCGTTCATTGATAAATACTTCAAATCCGTCAGAAACAGCAATCCAAAGCGGCGTTAAGCCCAACTCACTGAAAATGAAAACCTCAACGGCTCAGCTAGATTCTTCTGAATGTCCTTCCAAAAAGATTGATTTAAAGTTAAGGGCAATTATGCTTGACTGAATTATTATGTAAATCGGCGATGTGTGATGTTTCAGTTACAATGTGTTTTTGAGAATGTGTCTATTTTAGAGTTATATTCGCGTAACTTCTTTGATAGGCACTTGCTATTTGGATAAGCTATTTGGATGAACAACTTCTTTAGTATAATTAAGAGTGACGGTATAGGTCCTAACACCTTTATCAAGCAAGTGATGTACAAAGTATGGTTGATAAGCATATAAATAGGTGTTAGGTAGGTATATTGAGTTGAGTATTGATGAAATCCACCCCATCCTCAGACACCAGACAGACACCTGACAGACACCAGACAGACACCTGACAGATTATCCGGCTTATACACTCCCGTATCTGCCCCAAATACTTCACCCGGGGAGATCACATCTGTCAACAAACCCGCAACCTCCACATGGGACCCCCACTATCAACCTTAATCACCACGATCGTCACGACCCACCTGGAAGAAAAGCCCCGGAAATATCCCCCATAACATCTGCTGGTTCCACTAAGATGATGACACCTTTGTCATCCTACATCCTAACAAGGACCCCAGAACCCTACTGGACCACCTCAACTCCCAAAGCCCACGTATGTAGTTCACCATGGGAGAAGAATCTAATCGTCAACTACCTTTCCTTTATGTACTTGTACAGAAAGCAATCAATAAGCTCCACACCACTGTTAACCGCAAACAGATCCACACAGATGAGCGTCTTCCGTTCCGTGTAATTGTGGCCATGTTGGCGAAACATCAGGGCCCCTCAAACCCCGAATTTAAAAACATCAGAGCTCAGATTCTCAAGTTGACTCGAAGTCAGCTTTATCAAACATCCGTGACAACCCTAGCCACAGCATCCAGTGGTACAAAATCTAAGCCCTTACAACCAACATTAAAGACTTCCAAATCAGAAGACTCCAAGAAGCAATCCACATTAAAGACTCCAACAATCAATCAATCGTAATCAAAGCTTTTACATATCCCTGCGTACCATCAATTCATAAAATATTCCAATCAGTCATAATGGTTTCATTTCTAATCGCCTTCAATGCCGATCGCATACAGTAAAGCTGATGTTCAGTCACTTTTCCTACACGATGGAAAGTGCACCCCTTGTGCATACATTAATCGTGTACTACTCCAAAGTATATTGAATGTTATTGTTAGTGTACGCTCTATTGACAAGGGGCGGTCGGGTAGCCTAGTGATTAAAGCGTTCGCTCGTCACGCCGAAGACCCGCGTTCGATTCCCAACAGGGTACAATGTGTGAAGCCCATTTCTGGTGTCCCCCGCCGTGATATTCCTTGAATATTGCTTAAAGCGGCGTAAAACCATACTCACTCTCACTCTATTGACAAACGTGCGAGATGCTTTTAAACATATATTTCCTCCCAACACCGAGTAGATGAAAGGGGAACTCTATGCGTTTTCATACGTTATTAATCCTTTGAAGAAGGAAAGGACGGCTGTGTTCACAGTCAAACTATTGTCATCTAAATCCAATGAGCAGCCAGTGAACAAACCAATTATGTACAAGAGTGAAACAAACCACAGATTTGCAAATGAGAGACATTAACATTAACTGACTCAACACCCGTAACAGAATATATAACTATTGACAGTGTTAATGAATAGCTGGGTAGTCTAATGATGGCTAACCCACGGCGTGTCACAGCGTTAAGGGAGACCTTTCTTACTTGATAGCGCCAGGAACAGACTAAACAACAGACGGGTTACATGCAACTATGCATCCATACATGCAATGTGGTGTGCCCATGTAAGCTGTTGGGCAAAAGTTGTACCTAAAAATGTTGCTTCTTTTTGGAAGGTGAAAATTTCATCATTAAGTGAGAGTTTGCGTGTTAAATTTGGCATATGTTTTTTTTTTAAGTAAGCCGATTGTTTTTTGTGTGTTAATGTTGAAACCCCACTGGGAAGCCCAGTATTCGATGTCAGTTAGTATGGGTTTAATTCTGTTTTTTTTCTTTGGTGATGTTGATACTGAAACAAATCCTACATACCCAGGTAACATAATTAAATCATAAGATTAAAACTGGAGTACAGACCTGACTCTTGTAAAAAAAATACATTGACAATTAATTCTCTAAAGAATATCTCATTGTTTCATTTATATTGTTGTAAGACAGCTTAACCATAGATTCAAAACAGATTAGTTGCCTTTTAGTCATATCATAACATTTCACTTGGTCTCAGTGGTAATCCTATGTACTCAGGACTGGTCCATTACTCAGTAGGTGTTTGACTTACTTAATCCCCTCCTGGCCTCCTCCCTGGCTGTGTAACAACTTGGAATATAGAGGTGTGTGACAAATGGGACGTGTAACTAATGGGAGATCACCATTAGAACTCCTGTTAAATTCCTTGTTTGTGGATAATGACAATCCAGGATGAGTTAAATACGATATAGACATAACGTTTCTGCTACTGTGTGGCCTGAACTATTAAGTTGTTTTGACAGTAGGCAAAGTGCACTGTAGGCAATAAGGAGAAGTTACCGTTATAATCCTTCTGTTTACACAACTGACTCACCTGTTGGATCTTTTACCTTATAAACATCCGGATTGTGTACATAACAGGCTTCTCCACTCTATTGCAACAACACCCCATTTACTCAACTGTGAGAAACACTGTCTCATACCTGTATATATACTGGTCAACCCTACTCTCCACACCACTTGCTTGCCAACGGAGTTAGAACATGCACCGAAACATCGCTCATAAATAAAGAAGTTGTTCATTCATATATCTTATCTACACCTAGAGAGAGAGAGTGCATTAGTGCGTTTCGGAAAGTTTTGAGAGCCTTGATTTCGCGTTTATTGTTGTCGTAATGTGAATATATTAACGTCTATCATCTAAAACCACAGTCAAGCCGCGAGTTCATTAACATAAACAATTGGAAAAGGTATTCGTGTTGGTTTGTATTGAATATATACAGTCTTATATTTTTTGTTCTACCCTTCCATTCCATTTTACACTGTCATACCGGTCTAATCTTCGTTGCTACGATACCTCGACCTAGATTTAACCTAGTAGGAACATAGAAGAAACTGGATTTGTTATCTTATCGTGGCCATTTATATCATGGTCTGTCATCCGCAAAATCCCGTTTTGTTGTATGTGTCAACTGCCATACGTGGGCGTGTGCACTTAACACTACTATATGGAACACTTTGTAATGTGATGTGATGCTTTATTTGTTTGTTGCTCAACGGTGATTGTTTTGTTAGTCTTCTGTTAGACCATATTGTTTACATCTCTAGCTTACATGATTCAGGGCAATTTATCAGAAAAGAAAGCAAATATCATCTGAAGTTTACTGGGAAAACAATATCTGAAATGCTTAACTTTCTCATAGATAAAATCTATGTGGAATTTGGGGATAAGCCATATTTGGTAAGAAGACGTCATTCCCATGGGCACCGATGATGCTAGCCTTCTTGCAGATCTGTTTCTTTATGCATAATGGCCAAAATGTCAACTGGGATTGCTGAAACAATACCAAGGAAATCTGATAAAAGAAGTTTTACTTAAGCTTCCGGAATATCGATGATCTGATATCGTTAAATATTGATCATATAGCCAACTGCTAACTGAGTTCGATACAGGAGACCAGTCAAACTGCCTCTGTTGTTTCATAGTTAGATCTAGATTGCTTCAACCTTTCATTAACTTTACCTTTATGTCACACGACTCTTGCCAAAACATTGTTTTATCAAGGTGACATCATTCAAGGTTTAAGCGAAGCTTTCAAAGTGTTTTATGATAGACATGTGGTGGATATTTTCAAATTTGACCTATTGAGTGACCAAAGCTATGTTCGATGCTATTCCCTATTTTGACTTTTAACAAGGGACTCTTGACTTGCCGTTGCATGTTTGTTTGAGGGGTATCATACTTATTTGATAGTGATTCATAAACATATATTAATATTTGTTTGTTTGATGTTTAACGCCGAACTCAGCAATATTACAGCTATATGGCGGCGGTCTGTAAAATAATCGAGTCTGGACAAGACAATCTATAGCTAGTGATTGACATCATGAGCATCGATCCACACATTTGGGATACGATGACATGCATCCACCAAGTAAGCGAGCCTGACCACCCAATCCCGTTAGTCGCCTCCAACGACAAACTTTGTTACCTTTTACGGCAAGCATGGATCGCCGAAGACCTATTCTACCCCCAGGATCTTCACGGGTAATGGTGTCGACGGATTTGTTCAATGAATTCTGTTGTAGCCGAAATTTCTTTTGATTATGGAATACATATAAACGTAGTTTAATGCTATAACATAAACTGACTAAACAAGGAGTGAATGAGGGAGTTGGGTTTAACGCCGCTTTTAACAGTATTCCAGTTATATCGCGGCGTGTCAGCTTAATGTGGGATGCAGGTCCCAGACGTTTACCACTTCGGTGAAACCCACGAGCACGGGTATGGTGTTGACAAACCTAGAAACATAATCGGGGCGAACCGGGATTCGAACCCATAATCATGGGTTTCTAGCGCACCCAAGAGACGCAACTCTGCACAGCGAATCGTAGCACCTTAGATGACTTTGCCACCCGTGTACCTGACAGTATAAATGGAAAGGAAGATACTTGCATTGCCAAAAGACATGAATTATATATCAACATCATTACAGGTTATGCCATGAATGAGAGCAAATATGAAGGTATTGTGTTTGGAAGGTGGGACAGTTGTTCTGTATTTGATCTACCATTAAGATTAAAATCAGCAAATGGAACTCCCTTTAATCCTTCAAAATGTCCAAATTGTAAGTTTTGTGTTTACCATGGGAACCAATGCACGCCCCAACTCGACGACGTGAAGAAGTTGTGATACATCTGATCACAAGAAATAGGATTCAACACTATTATATTCTTCTCAGAGGTCACAGTGATGATATCATTCCTCAGATGGAGGGTGCGTAAGTAGTGTTTTCCTGAGTAGTGTAGGACAGGAGGTCTGCGACTTCTTTGCCTGTCTATCTTCCGCCCAATCTGTCTGAAACAGGCCACACGGCCCAAAGTCCTTGCAACTTGGTCATGGTCATCCGTTTCCATTGATCCGTCAGTGTACATGAGAAATAATGCTATTTATGTCCATCATCCACAATCTTAGTAATTGAAAGGTACACCCCTCCAGCAGAAATCTGCACACTGGACTTTTGCTACACATGGTGTTGTAAAAAAGGGTCTGATATCATATATAAATGTTGCATTGTACTGCTACTTTCATTGTTCTGTTTTAAAATCATCTCCATGTGTACTGTTTTAGTGATCAGTGAAAAAATGTTAACATTCATACCATATGTTCAATTTGAAATGTGACGTAAAATAATTCAGGTTTGCCGTATAGCTCTCCTGGTTTGATAATGAGCTGTCCTGATATCCCAGCAATGACACTCGAATAGCCTGGCAAAATGAAAAAAACATCACCCCCCTGGACTGGATCTTTCATGATTTATCACTGCTGTTGACTTCTTACAATCATGCATTGGACATACCCAGATAAAGGCATTGTGTATTCATAGCTTTTCGCCTATGCCAATCTACAGTTATCAGAGGGGGTACACAAAGTACATGATCTAGACTACCACTTATCGGACTTCCATTTTGTGGGAGCCTCGGTGGCAGAGTTGGTCAGATCGCTGACTTTGTGAGCTGACGATAAGGTGCCTCACTTTGGCAGTGTGTGTTCGAATGCTGGATCGGAGTCAACCCTGAAAAGTACTTTAATTTGTACTTTAGCAAGATAGTATTATCCCAAATAACACTTTCGATAAAGATAATGGGCTTCGGTCCCAAATTCAGTTGAGAACGTTTCAATGTACAGTCAACCTAGCTCTCCATTGAAAACACACAATGTGTATCTCCTAATATTATTACAACGAAACCAGCCAGTTTGTTTTCTTAAACAAGTTTTCGCAAAATCACATCTTACGTTTCAATATACAATGTACAATTTTGCTCTGTCGGATCATAATTTGGCGTAGTGAGGTAAGTCAATGGCCAATGAATTCTCTCTTGTAATACTAAAAAAGGAGCGTTATTCGTGTTAGTTAACGTTCAAACCAGACAGTACGTGTTGACAAACAATCCCGTCATTTAGGTATTGACTAACATATGGGCTGTCATCCACAAAGTTCCTCCACCAAAAACATTTTTTTCTCAACTGAGATTTCGTCACCATCAATTGCTTCAGCCAGAAAATTGATTTATGGTAACTGATGAGCCTTAGTGGCTGAAAGTCATAAGGCTGCAAAGAAGTCAGGGCCTGGCGAGTGAGTCAGAGTGAGGCATCTTCTAATATTGCCCGCATTGTTATAGACTCACTCATCTTCATAATAATTCCTTCCTTGTATCGATCGAACAAATCGAAATATCCCAACATACTGTTCGATACATATACCTGATGAACGTTAACATGTCATCAATGATTAAGTCTTCTACTCTCCCTTCTAACTCTCGTCTTTTCTTTATGACAGGACATTATGAAGCGACTATGTCCAAGAAAGCTGGCTCTGTTCCTCTCCACAGCTGTGGCCGTGTATCTATGGTTCTGTATCAATATCGGTAAATCGGCATCCCGATGGTCAACGAAAACAAGATCCTGTTGTATTGAAAAGATCGACATTTCACTCGTAGAGCCTCATATAACGAAACTGGAAAAAAGCAGTTCAATAGTGGAGGATTTGTCATTTCCGGTTTCGAGCAGTGTCTGCCAGGATGTATCAAAGGGAGATAATCGAGTGTGGCTTCTGATTGCTGTGATATCAGCGACTGCTCATTTTCAAGCCAGGAACGCTATACGGCAAACATGGGGGTCTACGGTGAATGTAAATAAGGACAGCCATGTATGTATGGTGTTTATTATTGGTACAACGAACGGTCCTCACAGTCAGCAAATCAACAAGGAAATTCATCAGTATGGAGATATTGTGCAAATAAACAAAGAAGATACGTACAAGAACGTGGTTTTCAAGAGCATTGCTATGCTCAAATGGGCAATTTTACAAGTCACAAATGTGCAGTTTCTCCTCAAACTGGATGATGACGTGTATTTTCAAATGACAGGATTATCTCGAATACTTTCATCATTTGAACGCCAGTCAGGATTTATCATGGGCCACAGGGAAGTGAATGCAAAGCCAATACGTAATTCTTCTTCCCGATATCACATTTCATCAAGTGAATATTCAGGAACGTCTCTCCCGCATTACATGCGTGGTGGGTCTTATCTCATTTCCGGGGATCTCATCCGGGACCTTTTGTCTGTGATACCCACAATTCCATTGGTGTCGATAGAGGATGTGTATATTACTGGCATCTGTGCAGCCTATGTTTCCGCGTACCATGCATACGACTGCGGATTTAAAAGCAAATTTTCACTGACAGATAAAACTGGTTTAGATCCGGAGGCCGTGACTATTTATGAATATGGACCGGAGACAATTTCGCTTATATGGAATTTAACACAGAATAAAGTAAATCTACCGTAAGCGTTGGCATCTCATACAAATGAAATTTAGGGTGCCGTTGTACAAAGCGATCTTAGCGCTAAGGTGAACGTAACTCCCATACCTTAACATAGACATACGGCAGTCTTAATGCAAAGGTTCTTTTTGTACAACGGCACCCAGATTACAAATGCAAGTGTCGCGTTGTTATGTGACGCTGTGATATGTGTGCCGGACATATTCACTTATCTTGTTGAGGTGTTAGAATGAGTCCAACGGGTCTTATTCTCATCATTGTGTAATTACAAAATAATTTCACAAAGTTTCTGATTCCAGTGTCAAATATTTCTTAATTGTCTTTAATGTATGGAAAATGACTGTTATTTCGGAACCCAACAGTTTATGTTAGCTACATATTTGTATCAGCCACAACCAACTGATCATGACGCTCCACCTCCGCGTGATTATGCTCACAACAATAGATTATTCTCTGTAACGTGGATTCAATATTTGATTAGAACACTAAGTGTGTCTTTTGCATAAGGCGATTTAGATTTAGATACAAACTCCGCTTCTACAACTATAAAGGATGAAGATCATTATTTAGAGTTTTATGGTCTAATAGAAGTTAATCGAAATACAGGATGGTATCATTCTGGCGACAATTCGATATATAATGAAAAACTGATATTCGTCAACATTTTGTTTTGCACACACCCTTCGCTTACTGACAACCATTTTTTTAAACATCAAACATTGATGAATACTTTCTCTTGCCCAGTAGTTTGTTCAACCCTCCTGTCAAAGAACTATATGTCAATCCATTCCCTAAACCCCTTTGTAGATCCGTGTTAGAAGAGGTCTTTAGCAACCACTGCTTGTCGTTAGGCGACTAACGGGATCTGGTGGTCAGGTTCTTGTTCGCTGCATGGCATCGTATCCCATTTGCGTAGATCGATGCTCATGATGTCAATCACTGGGTTGTCTAGTCCAGGCTGGATTATTTAGAGACCGCTGTAACAGAGCTGGAATATTGCTGCGTGCGGCGTTAAACAACAAACAAAGAAATAATTATATTATTTATTATCCAAGATGATACATATATCCAGATGATACTGTTCTGTGAATACCTTTTCAGCAATTGTGTCTGTCAGCTATAAAGACGCTAGGTTGTCGAAAAGTATTATGTGTGACAAAAATATGTTACAAGTAAAAGCGACTTCTGTTGCTCAGTTATAGTAAGGATTTAAAAAAAAATCTTTCTTAAAATGTAAAACAATATTCAAAAACAGTAGGGCTGTTTTGTATTTCATTTTCATGTATCGCCAACGCGTGTGTTTGGGGTTTCATCCTATTCTTCTGTTCGTGTTCTCGAGTTGTTAGCCTGCCATGGCGTCTGGTGGGAACGCCCTGATTGGTTCAGTGCACGGGTGATTGATGGTCGATGCAATCTCATTAAAATCAGATCTTAGGTTTCGCTACCGCTAAACAAAGATCTGAGGACATCCCATTACGGGTCACGTCAGAACGACCTCTCGCGAACCTTGACCGATCAATGAAATGACTGACAAGAAATCGACATTAGCCAATCAGAAGGCAGCTTTCTCGAGCTTTACGACACTAGTTTCAAACTGGCGACTACGCTTCGAAACATATTTTGACGTATTCTCGGTTAAAAAAATTAAAACTGATAAAAAGAACATTCTGGAATGGCTTACAGATGGCCTAGATTGTATGGATATAATCGTAAAACCAGTAACTGTCGTTCAGAATACCTTGGGTTAAATATTTCGAGGTTGCATGATCAGAAAACACATTCCGTCTGTCACTTTCATGATCTGGTAAACGACGCTCTGATTGGTTGGATGAAAGGTCGTTCTGACGTGACCTGTAATGGGATGTCCCCAGTTCTTTGCACGGCGGGGGACACCAGAAATGTGCTTCACACATTGTACCCATGACGGGAATCGAACCCGGGTCTTCGGCGTGACGAGCGAACGCTTTAACCACTAGGCTACCCGACCGCCCCTCCAAAAACCAAGTGAAACATGTGTCCTACGAACTCAACATGAAGGCAGCAGATCTACTAAAACAGGCACGTGTGTGTTATTGTTTAACGCCGCACTCAGCAATATTCCAGCTCTATGGCGGCGGTCTGTAAATAATCGAGTGGGGTAGAAAATCCAGTGATTGATATCATGAGCATCGATTCACGCAATTGGGAGCCTGACCGTCCGATCCCATTAGTCATCAAGCATAGTCACCTTTTACGGCAAGCATGGGTTGCTGAAGACCTATTCTACCCCGGATCTTCACGGGACTCAAACAGGCATGTAGCAGTGGGAACAATTTCACTGTATACAATATCGGAGATGAGACTTGTATAGCATGTATTTTGCTCATTGTCATATCGATGTTATTACAATTCAGCATATGGAAGCTTCTCGGTATTTTGGATTTTCTAAAACAAGCGTGTTATCTGTAAACACGTGCGCAACGTGCGTAGATCCACTGCTAATTAGGGGAAATTCATAATCCTGTGATCTGTTTAAATTATTTGCATTTTTGCTTTATGCATTTTATGTATTTTATATATTTGTACTATTTCCGAATAACTCGTTTATATCATAGAAGATAATGCATTTCTGTATGCCACGTGTACGCATTTGCGATTCACCGCATTCACGACTAATCCATCGATGTGATGCTCGCGGTAGCAACAGACGAATCCCTCGAATTATGTATTCGACACGTTAACGGGGTTATCTGCTATACAAGTGTGGCTTTCCCGGTGTATATCTTAGGAGCCCTACTCAATACCAGGCTCCAAACACTCTAAAGTGACTTGGGCCCAGGCTGAGATCCCTCTAGCCACGGCAAACTAAGGTCAGCTCCGGGCTCAAATTGTTGTTTTACCATATATTTCATTATTCCCCGGCACGAAGTAGGGCGGGGGATATAGGAACGGAATTCGTCCGTCCACCCGCCCATCCATCGGCTTCTTAAAGGGGACGAATTTTCTCAAAAACTGTTAGAGTCAGAGAAATTATTTTTTTTCCACTCTGATGTTCCTGATTATGATCTCAAATGAGTTCGAAAATTGATGTCGTAAATTCATTTTTACAGAGATATGACCCTTTCTCCGTGCTTTTCAACTTTGATTGTATACTGCGTGAAATAATGGGGAAGGTTTTTTCAGCAACTACTGAAGTCACATGAATGAAAGTTCGCATGCTTATCTGAGGGATACTTGTCAAGACTGAATTCGAAAATTGGTACAGTAAATTGTTTTTCCACAGAGTTACGGCCCTTTATCCACGTTAATTTACTTGGTGCATTGTGTCTGCAATAGGGATAGGTTTTCTAAAATAAACTACTGAAGTTTTTTTATCTAAGAGATACTTATCAAGACTGACTTATTTTTTTCCAGAAAAGGTGTCTTTTGTGTGAATTAATTTCACATTTAATATTTTTTTCTGATGACATAAAGCGGCCCAAGTGCCTGTCTTTTCTTCAGGTTTTATAAGACTATTTTTGTTTATCGCTATTATTCACTACTATACAAACACACACAATTCTAAAGTGCACCATGACGGGGGAAAGTGATAACGCTGTTTTCTTGTTTCAACATGGAAATTATAAATTATTATGATGTATGGTTCCTTTCCTAGCGAGTGGACCCGTTAAGATCCGGGGTGGAATAGGTCTTCAGCAACCCATGCTTGCCATAAAAGGCGACTATGCTTGTCGTAAGAGGCGACCAACTGGATCGGGTGGTCAGGCTCGCTGACTAAGTTGATGCATGTCATCGATCCCAATTGCGTGGGTCGATTCTCATGATGTCAATCGCTAGATTGTCTGGTCCAGATCGATTATTTACAGACCGCCGTCATATAGCTGGAGTATTGCTGAGTGCGGCGTTAAACAACAAACAAACAAAATCCTAGTGTGTGTACATATTATGGGTTGATAACAATCGATACAAGTGTATGTTCCCTTCAAACACAGGTAAACTATTCAAAATTGAAACAAATTCGTGTGCATAATTGGAATACATAAGTGTGGAGCAACTGTTGCAGCTACTAGTACTCTGTGAATGCGTTCTACGTGTACAAACATTTTACACATCGGATATTGATAAGGTCACAGCTTGCAGACACGAATTATCAGAACATACGGTTTCAGGGATCAGTTAACAACATATATGCCTTACCGACATGCACAAAGGTCAAGAATACATGTCCGCAGTTTCACTGAGTTAGCAAAACTCGACGCAAACGAACCAAGTTAATTCCCTCTACCTAATGCATTCGGATAAACATCAGGAAGAGATAAGCTAATGTGGTTTAAATAAAATTTAATTTTAGAAACGATATTTAAAATGCCTGAACAGACAACTGAATATTTATATCTCGGTTTAAAATAACAACATGTTTACCGTTATACTTGCCTTCAAACCAGACTCAATTTTTTTACATAGTCCATGTAGCCGTCGTTTACCTGTAAAATAGATAAATGTTGTGTACATTATAATTACAGTGTGGAATTGAATACGATATTGAAATAATTAAAACGTACTCATTAGGCGAACATTTTAAAACAATATGCAATTATATCATTAGTTGTCAACCGATCTCGAGGGATGATGTGCCCCGTGTGTGAGCCTATATATATCTACATCACACCATACCTTGCCGACATTCATACAGGTCTGGAACATATGTCCGCAGGTTAACTGAGTTAACAAAACTCGAAGCAGACAACGACGAGTTACTTCCCTTTACCCAGTGCATTCGGATGAGCATCGCTTTATTTCAACTCAACGAGACATATTCGAGATATGCAAGTTACCTACGATGTGTTCCGATTGATTTCACAGTGGGCTGCATGATCGGGCGTCATGAACGGGCTGCACGGAAGATAATTGCCCGTAGCGGTAGTGATAATGGTCATTAAAAAACAGTAGTCATTTACACTTTTATATTATATCAGATGCTACATATGGCTGACCCTCTTGCCAAGGTTCAGATGTGTGTGTCTATGGACTCATGCCGGTTCATTTGTTATATCAAAAGACAATCAGCGGTGATCATCTAAACCCACTTGAGTGAGTGAGTATGGTTCTACGCCGCTGTTAGCAATATTTCAGCAATATGATGGCGATGGACACAAGAAATGAGCTGCACACATTGTAACCATAGGGAATCGAACAAGGGTCTTCGGCATGACGAGCGAACGCTTTAACCACTAGGCTACCCCACTGCCCGTAAATCCACTTGAAAGTTCACAATGGCAATAGTTTCTCTCTTCTCTCTGGGACAATACAATGCCACCAAAGATCGGTAGGGTGGCAGTAGAACAAACCTTTTTTCTTTAATACGCATGCCGTCAATTAAGTTTTGATTTCTTTCATGATAGTAATTTTATTCATTTAATTTTTCGTGGCATGATTGATGCACATGTATCCATATCATCTGTTTTTTCTTCAGAACACCCGGTGCTTGAGAAGACGCGATGAGGAGACTCAGGGGCTGGACTGGAGGATATATAGTTATACTAACTGTTATTATTGTGTTTATTCTTAAAGCATTCATCCAACCTCACCGACCACTAAACGTGGACTGTGCGACTGACAATTTTACATGCTGCACATTAAGGAGAACAGATTGGAGTCATGTCCAAACAAGGACGACACATACGCCGAGTAAGGTTGTTGATGAGATCCAGTTCTCCGTGGACAGCAGATTGTGTAAGGAGAAACTAAAGGATGATGCCTCGCTGTGGCTTCTGGTAGCAGTGATATCAGCCGTGACTCATTTCGAGCAACGGCAAGCAATCCGGGCAACGTGGGGATCTGCCATCCACAATAATTCGAGTAAACCTGTGTGTTTGGTATTCATACTGGGCACCGGTCAAGCATCTGATGACGTGAAACTTGAAGATGAAATTAGCAAGCATAAGGATATAGTTCAAATAAACAAGAAGGAAATATACACAAACCTTATTTATAAGAGCATAGGGTTGCTCAAATGGGCAGATGCACAGTTCAATCACGTCCACTTTGTGCATAAAGTAGACGATGATGTGTATGTACATGTGCCAGTGTTGTATGAAAGGTTGATACGTTTTTCAACTACACCAAAGATCATGATGGGCTATTTGGACAACGGGGCACCAGTCTTTAGAAATTCTAAGTCTAAGTATTACGTTTCGATAGACGAATTCAAAGGGGAGAAGTTTCCAAGTTATATTCACGGCCCTTCCTATGTTATATCCGGTGACCTTGTGCATGACCTGCTGGCCACAATTCCGCACCATCCGTTAGTTTCTATGGAAGACTTCTATATTACCGGGATATGTGGCACGTATATCTCTGCGGCTCATGTTGGCCATTGTGGATTCAGGAACTGGAGACAAAGGGGAGACGACTCCACCCTATTGCCAGAAGTAGTATCTCTACACAGTATGACGCCGAGCCAAATGTACAAAACCTGGAATTATCAACAAACGAAAATCATTGAAAGGAAATTGGAGTGAGTGACCGGAGAGAGTAAAAATATAGCGAATACCACAAGAAAATTATCAATACCTGATGATAACTTGTGAGTAAATACACATCGCTCAAAAGATTGTTGCGAACCCTGCCCTACTCTTTGTATTCAACAAAGCTATTCAGAAAGCTAGCACCGCCTGCGTGGTCTAGAGACCGCGTCATACCAAAATACGTTAAAAGATGGTACTTGTTGTTGCCCTGTCTGGCGCTCGGGATTAAGGGGCTAAAACAAGGACTGGTCGGCCCGGAGTCAGTACACTGTGTCTGAGTGGGGTATTCATGTTAAACTGCGGCATGGAATCTCAGTGGGCTAGCACCATAAATCGGCATCAGTCCGGACTAGTACAAGCAGCCACACACACACACACGCGCGTGCATGCACGTCGCTATATAAGTGCAATAATCTTGGACGCGACGTTAAACCCAATTTCACCTCACCTCAGAAAGCTAGCTAAGGTCTAGAAGAATAGTGAGTTGAATTTAACTTCGCCTTGAAACGTATTCCAGTCATATAAAGGCGTGTCAGCTTGGTGTTCGAGGACAGCTTGACGTCTCAGATGTTTACCACTTTGGTTAAACCCACGAACGCGGTTATGGTGCTGACAAACGGAGAAACAAACCTTTAGACTCACTCTACAAAGTGCATTGCAGCACCTCGGACTTGGTCACACTTGCCCTTGATACGAATTTTGAATAGCTGATGAGAGTAATGTGTATTGTTGAGCCAGGATATTTAATTTTATTTGAAAAGTGTATGCCCTCTTCTCACTTTTACACAGCAATTTTGTTGTTGTGTGTAAATCTAGCATTTTGTTCCGATATATTTTAAGCCTATAACCTAGTGCCTGGATGGTAGGATTTCTCTGTTGTCTTTTGTACTTCGCCCTCTGTTTTCACACAATGTGGGGTAATGGTTATCATATTTATAGATTTATCTTGCTCCATTATGTAGTACTAAAACAAGGTTCATTTTCAAAATGGTCGTGTGTCTTTATATTTGTTAAGCATATCCAATCAATAGATCTTTGATGATAAAATGATAAATGTGTTTGTTTTGTTTTTCGACGAAATACTAAAAATCTTAAACTATTTAACGTTTTCCATAAAAAAATGGCAACGAAATTATCAAGAATTGATCAGACAAACCCATGCTGGGATGACACGCAATCGACCATGCCACTGTCTCTGATCACTCGGTCAGGATGGCAGGAGTGAGAACGTGAGTTGGCTTTTGAACGGTATTTTAATCATATTACGGCGTATGAGTTTAACGTGGGACTAGGCGCTTACAAACCTGAGATTCGAACCCAAGATCAGGTTTCTGGTATGTCTAAGGAAAACAACTCTGCACAGAGAAATGAGGTGCCTTAGATGACTGGGCCACCCTTGATACTCCCGTTTACACGTACTATTACTAAAATACACTATTTGTGACATGTTTGTTTGTTTGTTGTTTAACGCCGCATACAGCAATATTCCAGCTATATGTCGGCGGTCTGTAAATAATCGAGTCTGGACCAGACAATCAAGTGATTGACATCATGAGAATCGATCCACGCAATTGGGATGATTGATGACATGCATCAACCAAGTCAGCGAGCCTGACCACACGATGCCGTTAGTCGCCTCTTACGACAAGCAAAGTCGCCTTTTACGACAAGCATGGGTTGCTATAGACCTTCCCGGGCTTTTGTGACATGTAATGAAATATAATGTAAATGAAAAATGACTGAAGCCTTTTATAATAATTACATACTGATATTTAACTGAGGACCATCTTCCCGAGGCAAGGGAGTTAACTGACTATAAAAGTCCAGTTTCCACCCCTGCCGAACTAGGCTGGAATTTCTGGGCTCGATCGTAGCGCCACCGGTGGCTATTACGAGTTATATCCCTTCTATGTGCCTCCTATTGACCAATCAGATTCCACCTCTCGTATCACTTGCATTTGCTTCAAACAAAATGGCGGCGCCTAGTCAAGACGATTTGCTCGATTATCAAGGTCTTACCCCGTGCAAGTCACGTGAACACCTTGATTAAAAGCATGAAAAAAATTGTAAAATATCTTTCGACGCCCGCTTGGCGGTACACATGCTTTGCAAATCCTGCAGTCGACCGAAATCTGCACGTTGATATCCATATTGATTACAAACCGCATGTCTGGTTCGTTACGAAATTTTGATTGGACTATCCACAGACTCGTTAGTCCAGCCAAAACACAACCCAATAATACCATCCTAGTTCGGCAAGGGTGGAAACTGGACTTTTATAGTCAGTTCAGGTTCTTGCCTCGGGAAGATGACTGAGGACAGACTTGTCAAAGGCCATAGCAGGCAAACGCAACCACAAGAATATCCCTTTCCACGGGCGAATAACAACAACATGTACTGCTGTTGCCATATCGATTTCAAAACAATGCCGGCCTTAAACTGTTACTTGTGAACGCTTGCTGTTTGGTAACGACAAAAATCTATGGAGAGACGATGTTTACAAACGACACTTAGAGTTCGCTTCAGTTGAGCAGCGAATTTTGTGAATAAAACGCTAGTGGCTGAGACATAGAGACACATACATGCAAATATCAACATTACAAATTTTAAACTAATTGTTATACATTATAACCGTAAAGGTTTGTTTTTAAGAAATGTTTGTCCATAAATCTAACTCTATTCCCGATTTTCGCCAGTTCAAGGGGGCACGGTTGGCCCAGATGTCTAATGCACCACAATTGGCTGTGCAGAGTTGCGTCCCTTGGGTATGCCAGAAACCAGTTCGCCCCGATTATGTTTCGAGGTTTGTTGATCGTTGGTTTCACCAAAGTGGTAAACGTCTGTGACCTGCATCACTTCGGGCTTTCCTCCCACGTGAAGCTGACACGTAACTGGAATACTGTTCAAAGCGGTGTAGAACCCAACTCACTCCATCAAGTTTCACCAATTCTCAAGCAATTGTTTCACTGTTTCTCAAGGCGAATGGCACGTTGCATTATTTATAAAATTAACTATGAAAAAAACTTCACTTGATGAGGGGGCAAGAAGTGGCACTGAAACACTAGTGCAAAGAATATGGATGTTGTTAGCTATAACAAAAGTGTCAGGTATATAGATCCTGTGTCCTCTCATGACATCCGGGTTTTTCTCTCACAAAAACAACATTTCATAATGTTATATTACAATTATGGAAAACAGGTGTTCTGAGCTAAACCAGTTGCGGATCTGGTAGGGGCGTGGAATAACCCCCGAAATGAGTGAGTGAGTTTGGTTCTAAATTTGATGTAGCAATATCCCTGCAACATCACATCTCGGGACACAAGAAATAGGCTTCACACATTGTACCAATATGGAAATCGAACCCGGATCTTCGCCGTGACGAGCAAAATCTTTAACCATTAGGCTAACCCCACACCACTCAAAAAATAAACAAATTAAAATATTAATAAAATAACAATAAATATATAAATAAAATTAAAAAACAACCTTTTTTGGTAAAAAATAAGACTACAGACAAATACAGCCATGATTTTGAAAACACACCACAACCCCACCACAAGCCAAAACCATCCCAATTCCCCACCGCTACCCCTCCCAAACGCCACCACAAACACCACCAACATCACCACAACCACCACCACAAGCCCGAACCATCCCCCATCCCCACCGCTACCCCTCCCAAACGCCACAATCACCACAACCACCCTGAATAAAGTCCGATTCATCAAGGCTTTGGTTATTTGAACAGCGTTCAAGCTTGAAGCGCCCATAAAATATTTCCCTGATGCTCGACTTGTTTTTTCGAACCGCTGCAAACGAGTACCGAGTTCCTTCTCTGTGTGTTAAGGCCCGGGAGGTGGCGAATTCCACGGTTCAATCAAGAAAAACGACCAAGCCTTTGAACAAAGATTATTTACAACCTCCTGTCATCCCATACAACAGTGTGCTCTAATCGTCATATTTTACTTCGAAAAAGAACGATTTCTTAGGTGTGAAAATGAGCAGTAAGAAAAGCAGTTGACGTTACGTACTTGAAACTTCTGACGCATTATGTATCATGTCGACGTGAGTGAGTATGATTTTACGCCACTTTCATACTTTCTATATAACGTCCAGATGAAATAATCCTTTCAATTTTCTTGGACTAGATTATGTGTATTTGACAAGTTGGAGTGAGTGACTATGTTTTCACGCCACATCAGCAATATCACGGCGGCGGAACCAGAAATGGGCCTCACACATTGCACCCATTTTTGGACTTGAACCCGGGTCTGTGGCGTGACGAGCGAACGCTTTAACCACTAGGCTTCCCCGCCGCCAATATTTCGAAGGAGGAATCGATGGATAAAATTAATTTGCTTGAGGAATATGGTGAGATGCTTTTCAAGGTTTTGTCAACTTGTCTCTTATAAACGCTGGTGAAACACCGATAAAAGCTGCGTTTTATAGTAATAATAGTGACATACAGCTCTAAGGTAATATCGGTGTTAACGTGATCTGCATTAAACCTTACTATGATATGAGAAACGAGGAGAATGTTCTTTAAAGTCGTAGTCAGCAATATTCCTGTTATGTCACGGCTGCTATTGAGGTGGCTGCTATTCATTTTTCCGATGTCCACACACTTGCGCCAACGATGCTGGGATGCCTGGAGCCCACGGGTGTAGAATGATTACGTCACTTCTGCTGTGATGTGAAGGACAATATACACCGCTAGAAAGTGGTGTATAACGTCCTTCCCATCACATTTGCATAATGCTTGCCGGACAGTTCATTCTTCTTTGGGAAGAGGTGGAAAGGAGACGGTGCCAAATCTGGCGAATACGTGGGATGTAAAGTGAGTTCAAAGCCACAGTCACGCATTGCAGTCATGGTGACCACAGACTTGTGCAGAGGTACATTGTCCTAGTGAAGGTAAGGTTACCTTAAGTAGCTTTTCCACTCGATATTCACCGACAGTTTCCGAAACAGATTAATGTGTGACCTTTCGGGAGGCAGTCCACCGGCAGGATTCCGTTGGAATCCCAGGAAAGCTATCACTTTGTCAGCTGATGGAACAAACTTTGCCTTCCTCGGAGGTTGAGACGTGATATATTTCCGTTGCTTCGCCTGTTAGTCTCTGGCTGATAGCGGTGAACCCAAGACTTGTTGATAGTTACAAATCACTCAATAAAATCAACGACGTACAATCTCACGAGGGATGATGAACCTGGAACGTTTCTAATCAGGAGTCAGATTGGTACCCAGAGTACTTAAACCTTCATCATACCAACATC